CGACGTGGTGGTGTTGTGCCACAGTGGTGGACTGGGGCTGCCGCTCTTTCTAGCAATTTCCTTTCTCTGGGTCAAGGCAGCCTTTCTTATCATGGTGGCTGTAAAGGCTGGCCCTTTTAGTTAACCTTTGCAAAATTGCTGCAGTCATTAACCTGCCTTTATTATCTCTTGACAGAAGATTACCTAGCAGCCCATGGCTGATTCACAGAGGCCTCTGATACTGTGCCCACACTTGTACTGTGTGTGTTGTGCAAAGTACATGATCCTCCTTGGTTTCTAATTCTTCACTCTTAGAAAGGGATTCCCCACAGAACAGAAATACCAGTTTGACAAGTTTGCTGATATGACTGTGTATTTTAATCTAGACATAATTACTTTTTGAAATGAGTAATCTGTGTTGCATACATTAAAATGTTGATGCATAATGAGGATTTCGGTCAGATGCGTGGCTTTGTGTTACTTTTAAGTTTTCCTTCTGAGTAATTAAATACATCCTTCCTTTTAATAATAGTAGAAATGGTGCCATTATCTCCTGCCGAATATGACCACTGCGGCCTCTTGGCTACATGTGCATCGGCCTAAGCAATCAGGTTGTTTATTTGTACATAATTTGTCTGTTAAGGGGTTATTTTTCAATATCTGGCACGGCTTGTCTTGAACACAGGACTGTGTAGTAATCCTACTTAATGTCTTCAATTCCATTCTCCTGTGGTGGGATTAGTGGGGTGTTCCATCCCAAAGGATTAGCCTGGCAGTTCATTGGATGCAGGGCTTCTATCAAGTGCTTATGAAACCACTGAGCACCAGCGATAGCAGCCAGAGCTGAAGGACTAGTCGGCACATTTTTCTGAAATTCCAACAGACCTTCTCCTGACGAAACGCAGCTCACCCCTCTAAGCAGCTCACCCTCCTAAATACAGGAGAGTATAGGTCCAGTTTCTTTAACCCCCCTCCCCCCCAGCCCCATCCAGTATTGTCCAGCGATATCAATGTGCTCACTGCTCTCTCTGACAGGTTCTTGACGTGTTTTTATTCAAGAGTCTTAGTATAAGTCCACATGCTTCAAGTGTTCTTCCCCTTTACTCAAATAGAAAGTGACATTGATGTCCCAGGTCATTTTAATTTTCCCCTGCTTTCCAGGATAATATTGCAACTTGTCTTCATTCCTGCTGAAAGATCCGTCGTTCAGACAAGAGTTGGCTGATTTTTAAATCCACTAGCTCAATCTCTTTGTGTGGAACAGTGTGTTAGATGTCTTGTAAAGGTTGTATCACTTGAATCATGATCCAAGTTGTGTGTTTGCCTGTGCACACTTCTTGGCTAGCATTCAAGTAAGTGCAGTAATCTGTAAGGCTTTGTCAGAGTGTAGGCAGGCACCTGGATAAATGCCTCTGCTCCACTTGCTGTAAGAACCCACATAAAGGAGCTGCAGGTAGAAAACCGCATATCATCTTTCTTTTCCACTGTTGCTCGGACTTTGCTTCTCTCCCTGTCCACTGTTCGGTTTGGGAGATGGCACCAGCCCAAGTTGGCAAGAGGTGTGGAAGATTTGGCAAGTGAGGGACCCCCCCCCCACTCTCCCCACTTGCTCCCCCTCCTTACTCTGTTTTATTATAGACTGGAGAGGTCACATTCAAGATGAAAAGCAGGTCAGTCAGGAAAAATGTGAAAGCCTTTATGCTTTCTCATGGTATCAACATCAACTCTGTTTCCTCCCCTGTCCCCCCCCCATCTTTCTCTTTTTGCTTACTCTCCACTTCTTTATCCCCTGCGCAGTCTCCATTCTTTCTCTCTCTCGCCCTCTCGCTCTTTCACCCTCTCACTCTCTCTCCTTACTCCCCCCCTTCCTCTCTCCTCCCTCTGTGTTTACACTTGGACTGCCTGAGTGTGTGTTTCTGTCTGTGTGTTAAAGTATTAACAGGAGAAAGAGCGAGAGGGCTCGAGTTTGTGTGTACTCACGCATTTGTGTGTGCACTGGTCGATGGTGCCTGCTGGCAAAGTGAGGTAGGGGGAGGGATAGGCTGACAGAGAGAGGGAGGGGGAAGAGAGAGAGATAGAGGAAAGATCAGATGAGAGAGAGAGAGAGAGAGAGAGAGAAGTAGAGAGTGAGTGAGCAAGCAAGCACAGAGACAGCCTCATCGTGCCACTTTCCTGTGGAAGTCTTCCTCGACGGCCGCCATTGAAGAGAGACTCAGCAGAAGAACAAAGCTGCAATTACTGAAGCACACGGAATAGCAGAGAGATGGGGAGAGACCAAGAGCATGTGCTGTTTTGGAGCATGTCAACCTGACCCCAGCTCAAGCATCAAGCCAGCTGGAAGTAAGAGTGGAGAGATTGAGCTGTTTTCATCTGTGCTCCGGATTTGGAGGCTCAGTGTTGAAGAGCATTCCAGGCTCTGCCTCTACAGATCAGACAGTCTGGTCGTGTGATCCAGAAGGACCACAAGACGACGGCTGGTGTTACAGGCATGTGACACAGTGACAACCACGTTATGGCTACATCAGCTATTGATTGGCCTTCTCTGGGTGGTGCTTAAGGCCTTTCAGGGTCCTGATTGGATGCGAGGCAACCACCTGCTTCAGTTTTGCTGCTGCTGATTCGATGTTTGATCCACGTGTCTCCCTTGCCTCTAAGGGTTGGAGTCAACTGCAGCTACTTGGGAATGCGCTTTGTACACTCGGATAAAAGGATTAATCTAGGTATTGATATTTGTCTTTATTTTTCAGTCTGAGTAATTGCTTTCTTAAAACTTAGAATTTATGGAATGCTTTCATAGGTTGTCTAAAATGGTGACTGACTTGCATGAGGCATCATTAAAGGCGTTACTGGTTATCTTCCTGTCTTTTGGAAGGAGAACATACAGTACAGATCGGCTGTTTTGTTCCTCTTGCTTTTATAGCAATGTCTTCAGTCATGGTTTTACCACTTAAAGCTCAACAGGTTGCAGACAGTTTTAATATGAAGACATTTCAACTGTTGCTGTAGCTTGTTCAGTGTTGTCATTAATATTTTCTTACACAATAGTGTTCTTAAACTTGCTAGATGTTGCACTGCTTTGTATGTAGCTGATTAGATTTTCGTAGACTTGTCTAAATCACTGCTTGACGGGTATATATGTCAATTGTATGCATTGTAACTGGATGAGCAGTGGATGAGATTTTTTAAGTATGAAAATTACCCTAATATCAAAGAGTGTCTTCTTGTTGGCTTCACGCTTGTTCTCAGAGAGAGAGTACCCTGCAAGGCACAGGAAACAAGTGGGTGGTGTAGGTTAAGCCTCTTAGAGCGCACGCTGAAGGGGAACCACCACGGTGAAGTCGACACTATCTGTCTTTGGCCCTTTCTTTCACAAACATGCTGACCGCTCCCTAAAACAATTCTTTGAACACATGTGATATGCGAATTTCTTAACCGCTTTTTCTATCCTTCTCCTGTCTGGCGGTTGGACATCAACTCTTGTGAAAGGCACAATCATGTGGTTGACTGAGTAAAGGACCAGGGTTACTTGGAACTGGGTCACATCAAAGTTAGTCAGAATATATAACGCAGTGTGACCTCAGTGAGGGAGAGTGAGTGATGTCATTGACATAAGAGGTGGTTGAGCTGCCATATTACGACTCTCCTTACCATTTCTGTGGTTTTGCCAATGCTCCGCTTATCCATGGTGTCTGTGACACTGACGGATCAAGTCCTAGTTGTCCTCCGGTTGAGAAAGGACAGCTATTAAGAAACGCTCATTGCGGATAATTAACTATCATTTGACAGACTTTTCTTTCAAGTGTTAACCATACATACATTAGAATTTTTACAAGGCTACTCGAACATTTTAATTTTTTTTAAACTGCATTTAGGGCGGTGACAAGAATGTTGCCCTGAATTTAAACTTCACTTGGTCATTGTTGCAGGTCTTCTTCAGTATGGTAGGAACTGGTCTGCCATTGCCAAGATGGTGGGATCAAAAACTGTGTCACAGTGTAAGAATTTCTATTTCAACTACAAGAAGAGGCAAAAACTGGATGAGATTTTGCAGCAACATAAAATGAAATCGGTAAGCAAAAAAAAAAAAAAAAAGCCTGGCAGATATTTCCTCACAGAGATCACAAAGTTGTGTCCTATTTGGTGTTATTGAAATTGATTTTTGTGTGTTGGATCTTAACATAGGAGAAGGAGCGAAAGGCTCGCCGCAGGGGTAAAACCCTTCAAAATGAAGAGACCACTGCCCAGTTCACTGCAGAGGAAGAAGAGTTGGAAGGCTCAGGGGCTAGTGGCAATGAAGAGGAGGCACCTGAAGATGGAGAAGGTAGTCTGATTTGAAAGAACTACTAAAGATATTCTAGCTATTGTGGCACAATTTCCCAAAAATGACAGTGTTTCAAAACGTTGAGTCTGGTGGTATGGCCACTTCAATCTGAGTACAACATACAAAGAATTTGCAGAAGTTTTGGGCAACGTTTTTGTTTGACATCCCTGATTAAAAAAATCTGGGCCAAAAACACCAACTTAGTCACTTCTCAAGGTTCTCCTCCACCCTTTTGTTTCATCTTCTATTCAGGCAACCCCTTTTCCGATTGGCTGATATGTTTCAGTTAAAAATATCCACCAGTTGCTCATACAGGCCGGAATTTCAAGATGTCAACAGGTCAAAATCACTGTGATGCTTCAAATGTTGACACTTGCCCTTAAAATTTGACTTAACTAGTGCAAATAGAAGATTGCTGGTGAGAAGAGCAATTTGGGCAGTAGAAGAGGTCATGTACTTCAGCAGTCAATTGTTTATTTATGAATGTGTTTGCTGTGGGGGATTTTTGAGGCATTTGATGTGCTCATTCCATCTTTTTTTGTTTGTTTGTTTTTGTTTTGAGTCGGGAATTCCACAAAAATTCTTTGGTTTTTGGTGAATGTTAACAGTAGGCATTGATTGCTTTTTTACCTGAGAGAGAGAGAGAGAGAGAGAGAGAGAGAGAGAGAGAGAGAGAGAGAGAGAGAGACTTTTAATCCAGAGTGTCCCCCGCCTCTTTTCCAAAGTCAGCTCCAGCTCAGCCGTGACCCTCCTGAGGACAAAGGGAACAGAATATATATGGGTGGCTGAATAATGTTCTGCAAAGGAGTTGTGCCATTGCAGAGAGGCCCGCATTGAATTCAACTTCCATTATCTTACTTCATGGTCCTGGTCACAGTAAATTAGATGTGACAGAATCAACAGCACCTATGTTGGCTGCAGCAAAGTATTGTAGGACATTTGATTTTACTTTTATTGCTTCAAAATACAGTATGACTCATCAACAATCTATTTTCATACAATCAATCAATTATTATCCCTAGTATAGCTGCAGTGCCATAAAAAAAGTATTCATACCCCTTGAACTGTTATACATTGTGTGACCTTAACAATCTTTCCATCCATCCATCCATTTTCAACACTGCTTATCCTGAAGAGGGTTGTGGGGTGGGAGTGCTGGAGGCTATCCCATCTGACTTCCGGCAGAAGGCAGACGACACCCTGGACTGGTTGCCACTTAGTCGCAAGGCATATATAGAAACAAACATTCACACCCACATCCACACCATCCCTGAGTGGGAACCGATCCCATGCTGCCAACACACAAGTCTGGCGAGTGTACCACTACACCAGAGGCGGCGCACTGTCACAATCCCTAATAATCCCAAACTTGAATTTATTTTGTTGAGATTTTAACAGCAACATGTAGACCAAGAAGTCGCGAAATAGGTTAGGGATAAAGTTAAAGACGTTTAAAGCAGGATTAGTTTATTCAAAAAATATGTCAGACTTTGAAAATCTTAGACTACGCCTTTCACCCAATCCACTGCAAACATCACCAGCTACCTACCTACACTGACAGAGAAAGCGATGAGAACACTCGTCAGCGAATCAGCCCATGGTCACTTTGGAGGAGCTGCTAAAAATCCACAACTCAGGTGGGAGAATCTGTCCACTGGACAACTATAAATCATGCAATCCACAAGTGTGGCCTTTATGGTAGAGTGACAAGAAGAAAGCCACTGTTGCAAGAAAGGTATAAAAGTCCCGTTTTGCATTTGCGCAAGCCATGTAGGGAGTACTGTAAACACCCGGAAGAAGGTGCTTTTGCTAGATGAACCCAAAGATTTATTTATTTATTTTTTTGCCAAAATGCAAAGCACGATGTCTGGCAGGAAATTAAGACTGCTCATTCACACTGTGAAACATATTGGAAGCAACAACGTGCTGTGGGGATGTTTTTCTCTAGCAGGGCCAGAAAGCTGGTCAGAGTTAATGGGAAGAAGCAAGACACTGATGCTAGACATTAAGCCGGAGCTATAATGGATTTGTTCAGATCAAAGAATATTCACATTTTAGAATGGGTAGAAAGTCTAGACCTAAATCCCATTGAGCATCTGTGGTAAGACTTGAACAGATGCACTCCATCCAATCTGGCCGAGTTTGAGCTATTTTGCAAAGAAGAGCGGGCACAATTTTCAGTGTCTAGATGTACAAAGCTGGTAGAGATGAACTACAAGGACTTGCCAGCTTTAATTGCAGCGACCTTTGGCTCTTCAAAGTACTGATGCAACGGGAGTCAATACAAATGCATCCTACATTTTTCAGATTTTTATATGCTAAAAAAATGATAATGCCACTTTTTGATGGTTGATCACATAAAATCTCAATAAAAATGTTTGTGGTTATAAGGTGGCAAATTGTGAAAGTATTTAAGGGATATCTACTTTTTCAAGGCACTGTGTACTGGTATATTATTCTAGATTGAATTATGACCTCTGTCACTCAATAACGAGTAGAGCTGCGTCATTCTTAATTTTCTGGACACTACTTTTTTTTTTTTTTTGCCCACATGAAATCTTTCATCCTCCTCATAAAGCTTAATTGTCCCCCTTTGTCCTCCAGCGAGGCAAGTATACTTTTCTTATTAGAATACATGAGATTGTTCGCTCGATGCCCAGTTTGTTTTGTGTCAATGTGGAAACAGCAGCTTTTGCCACATGCTGCTCACGTTGCACTGACAACATGTGCAGACTTCTTATATCATGCCAGGTTTGCTATATAGTTAATGTGTGTTGAAGTAATGACATACACTGCCACACGTGGTGGTAGAACAGCACGGTGGGCGACTGGTTAGCACATCTGCCTCACAGTGCAAAGGTGGGTGCAGGGTTCGAGTCCAGCTCCGGCCTTCCTGTGTGGAGTTTGCATGTTCTATCTTTACCTGTGTGGGTTTTCTCTGGGTACTCCTGTTTCCTCCCATATTTCAAAAACTTGAATGGCAGGTTAATGGAACACTTTAAACTATCCTTAGGTGTGATTGTGAGTGTCTATGTGTGCCATGCCATTGGCTGGCAACCAGTTCAAGGTGTCCTCCCCGCCTACTGCCCAAAGACAGCTGGGATGGGCTCCAGCACGCCTGTGACCCGTGCGAGGATAAGCGGATTAGAAAATGGTTGGATGGACAGTTAAGATACTTACCGGTAGTAGTGCTCCGATCAAACAACCACTGATTGTGATTAACCGATTTCCGTGGAACAGTGCATGATCAACATATGTCGATCAATGACTTTAATTGCTGATCACAAAAAACCTGCAGATCGTACTTCACAGCCTGCACCCAACCAGAGACTCGTCTGTGTGCAGTGTAGTGTTCTCTGATCAATCCATTGTCATGGATTGATCAGATCAAACTGATCAAACTGTCATTTGAAATAATGTCCTGTTTTTAATAAGTATGGTAATTTGGATAGAATGTTTTTTTCCATAATCTGCTTCATTCATTTTCCTAATCTAATTCATCAAATAATCAATTTGCAGCTACTCCCTGTGAGCGGTATTGGAATCGGTTTCGGCCGATCTCACTAGTGGATGATCAATATCAGAACCAGCAGAATAAAACCTTGATTGGAACACCCCTTACTTACCGGTAATAGATTTTAATGGGTGGCACTACGTGTTATTTTTTTCCTGTGGGGGAAAATTGAGGCCTCTATCTGAACTATGGCATTTATGTATTCAAGTGGATGACAAACTCCATCTGAGGCCACAATTTGAAAAAAAAGTGTAAATTTTCTTGATTTTGTATCATAGCATCTCTCTCACAAGGCTTTGCCTTCTACTAGGTGGTGCCAACAACAGCTCGGACACAGAGAGTTTGCCATCACCACATTCAGCTGATGATACCAAGGCCAAGGAAGAGGGTTCGAATAAGTCAAAGGCTGGCGGTAATACTGGGGAGAAAGAGGTAGCTGGCGCAGACGCAGAGCAGGCTGCAGATGGGAAACCTCCCGTAAAAGAAGATGCAGAAGTCTCCATCAAGCAGGAGATAAAGACCGAAACAGGGGAGCCAAACAAGGAGCTGACCCACCCATCACCCAGTGGTGATGCCACAGACAAGAAACCTTCTACAGCAGAGGCTGACGATGTCAAGAACTGTCCTAAGAGCTCAAAGAAGGACCATGGGGCCAAAGTAGGCTCCCATGGGGACAGCGACTCCAGTGCCACTTGCAGTGCTGATGAAGTGGAAGAGACAGACAACACAGAAAAGAACAGGTGAAAATGCACAAGTTTTTAGAGTGTGTGTGTGTGTGTGTGTGTGTGTGTGTGTGTGTGTGTGTGTGTGTGTTTTCACTTGTTCTATTTGGTCTGTCTGTCACTTTTTACGAAGTAAAGTAGTCCCTCATTTATCTCAGGGGTTACATTCCAAAAACAAGTAGCGGCAATAGGCAAAAGCCGCAAAGTAGAGGTTGACTTTTGTGTGGTGTGGTGAAGGGGAATTTATGTCTCTACGAAGCCGTTACGAACCCCCACACACAGTTCATACCCTTCTAAACACTAAATACATTGAACTTTTAAAATGCAAAACGAAGAATAAATACCAAGCTTCTGATTATGGGCTGCACCCTAAAAGAGGACGAGGACGATGAAACTTTTTTTTTCTTTTTATCTTAAAATGGCTGACCTTAAGCAGTGTCCCACATCACATTCTAGCCAAAGGTCCTGTTCAGCTGAATTAAAATGTTGTGCAAACTGAAAAGTAGTTGCCATGACTGCTTCTTCTTTGGTGTTGACATCTTTTTTTATTCTTCTTTTAAACAAGAGAACGAATAATATATTCTGGGATGCAGCCCAGATGTATGCTTCGAGCGCGCACAGATTCACTATGACCATTCAGAAACTCAGAGCGTTATCCAAATGAATGTGCTGTTCGGTTCTTGAGAGTGCACCAAAGACTGAATTCTAGTGTGCGCTTTAGGCACTCCAACTGGAGACACAGTGCACCAGTGCGTCGGGCAGTCTAGATGGAAACAGTTCAAGCATGAATTGCTGATTGGTTAAGAACATAAATAAGACTGTGTTCTGAAATTAACGGGAAGGGAGTGCTCTCTGCCTCTCCGAGCACACTCGCTGAGAGTAGTGCATGGGTGTGAGAGTGAAATTTGAAACAAATTTCCCATCAAACAACCGAAATTTCTTGACTCGTCTAGTTTAGAAGGCAATAGAACCTGGAAAAACGGTAAAACTGAAATAGATGTAGTTATGGTCACAAATGAAAAGACGTAATAGAGTGAAGTAGCGAGGGAACACTGTGTATACAAATTGTGCAGCTGCAGTTTATATTGTAGTTATACAGGTACAGTTCTGTGTTGCAATATTGTTTTCTATGAATATGCATCCGTCACTTGTTTCTAAGTCAAAGACAAAACGGAAACCCCGCTAATATTTTTATATTCTTCTAAATATCTTTGTAGAATGACTTCTCCCCGTCCAAGCCTACTGAACTACACTCATGATGGGGTCATCTCATCCCCTCTGCAAAAGCCCATGGACCTTAAACAGCTCAAACAGCGGGCTGCTGCCATACCACCGATTGTGAGTCACTCATTCTCCAAACTCCGCTTTCGTGTCTGTGGCCTTCCTTCACTTCAGTCTTTCAGTCTCATATTTAAATTACTGATCAAGTACTGAAAATCATTAGTTTTAATAATGCGCAAATAAAATGGTTGCATAAACCTGTGCATAACATCTAGCAAAAAATATGAACTTTTATAAGCTTGAAAATGTATCTTTAAACGACTTGAATTTTTATTTGATTATTTTGAAAAGTTGCATAACCTTGAGCAGGTGCTATTTTGTGCTCTCTTTGTAGAGATAAAAGTAGCTTGTAGTAGAACATCATCGTCATCAGACACTGCATAGAGTTGCTAATCATACTGTATGTTGAAAAAAATGGAGGATTTACGCATTGTTAGCAAGATCATACATAATATAAAGCATTTAATTCCCTCTCGTCCTGTGTGTAGATACCAGAAGCGTCAGTCCAAGGCAGTCAGTGGAGTGGGGGCACCAAGGCTGTATTGCCCCCCCATGCTTTGGCACTGTACCAGCAGCAGATCACCATGGCTCATGGGGAGTCATCTCAGGAGGTCAAACAACCGCAGCAGCTTTCAGGCCAGCCAGGCAAACAGCAGCCTTATTCCCAGCAAACAGAAAGAGACAGGGAGGCTCCCTATAGCAGCAGCCCTCGCATCCGCCCACGCAGCCCGTCCACTGGTGACAAGGATGGTACGCCTCTTTTATTGCGGACTGGATAATTAATGTTTAACTTCTAATGGTGCTAAGCAGCGTGAGATTTTTGGTGAACGAATTGATAGGAAACACACACGTCACAATACTTTTTTTGGCTAATTTATGTACAGCTGTACTGTATTTCTTTACATGGTACATGCTGGAGTTGTCAGATCTTAAGTCCTAAATCTGGCAGATCTTAAATGCCAGAAAAGGAAAAACTGAGGTGTGCCGAGAATTATACATGATGCTTGGCAGTTTATTAAAAAAAAAAAAAAAAACTAATAGTGTTTGAATTAGTTTTTCTTTGTTGGCTACTGACCTTGAGTCTTTGCTCTCGAGTTTGTCCTCTCGTGTACTCATGTGTTTCTGGGACACTGGCAGAGAGAGCTGATAAATGATTGTGTCCCTCCTGACCCAGAAGGGACTCTCGGCTTATTTCGTGCGCTGGATCACTGTTAGCTTGTTGGCTGTGAATATCAGATCAGTCATGTCTTTGAACTGTGAACAACTGTAATAGTTTTACTGTATATTCCTTGATTTTAAAAAAAGACAAAGTCTTAAAACAGCATAAAAAAAAGAAGCAGAAATGCATGATGATCGAGAATATGTCTTGCTTTTGTAGAAAAGTTGCAGGCTTACTCTTCACATGGTGAAGTCAAGAGGCCCGCACTGGGCCCGGATGACCTAAGGTCCACTAACTTGGGTCGGCCAGTTTTGTCCCCGTTTCCCATGTCCCCAAGAGACATGACCAAGATCAGTCACGACCAGCACCTGCTCCAATTCAACTGTAAAGACTCCTCATTATCTTCTCAGGCACAATTTATGTTGTCGTTGTTTTGTATATATTAGATTGCATTGCGCTGGTTCTCTACTCATTATTTCATAATTTCATCTGCCTGTCAGCATTCCAGCAAGTGGGCCACCCAGTGCTTCCTGGTTTGCAACAGGATAGTGCCAGGCAGGCAGCAGTGAGACCCCTCATTATGCCAGAACCACCACCTCTCATTTCCTCAACCAAACCAGGGGGCTCTATCACACAGGTATATTACAACACACTTGGTTGCTCTGGAAAGTAGAAATGATTCAAATCAGGATACAGCACAGCACCTTGAGGGCCACAACCCTCCCTGTTTTAGAGGTTTCCCCTCTCCAACACACATGATTCATATGGGAAGCATCTAAAACATGCAGGATGGTGGCCCTTGTGGTCCCCAACCTTTTTTGCCCCACGGACCGGTTTCATGTCAGACAATATTTTCAGCCTTTAAGGCCGGATAGATACAACAATATAATATGATATGACCTGCATGAAAAGTGTGGTATTTTCGAAACATAATCATAAACACGAATCATGACACGAGGAACGTCCTATCTGGCCGCAACATTCTCTGGTCGCTATGGTAACGTTTAAACATACCTTCAAAATATGACACGCCGCAAATAAAAAGTGCATGAAAAATACGACTCCCCATCGCCACTTATTATGCAGAGTAGGCTTGGTGCGTGTGAATCTCCCATTGAGATAAAGCCGCATTTGAAATAAGACTCCTAATACTGTCTATTAAATGCAGCCTTCTCTTTCTTGAAAGGCTCCTAATACTGTCTATTAAATGTAGCCTTCTCTTTCTTGAAAGTCGTAGGCTCCTCTTCCGTCTCCTGGATGGGCCTTTTCCCCTTCCCGAAAAAACTTTTCAAAGACGTTTGTTTTTTTTTTTTATGCCGTAACCTACCATATGACCGAGAAGTGCGCATTCACCTGTGTCAAAAGTGACATACTGTGAACTGATATAACAGAGAATCCGGTAATTTTTCAAAAATAAAACATCTTTCAGATTCCGAGATGAATAAAATGGAAGGAATGTAAGTTATTTATTCTTTCTATACGGCCCGGCACCAAATGACCCGGCGGTTGGGAACCCCTGCTTTAAATATCTACTCAAGTATTGTGGATACTATTAGTAAAGTGAATGCTTTTCCAGGGGACTCCTGTACAGTTGCACGGCCCAGCTCATGGTTTCGAACATGGAAAAATGCCTTCTCCTCAAATGAGTTTGTCATGGATTGATCAGAGAAAAGTTGGTGAGTGAATTAATCGGGATAATCAAATAAAAGTCAGATTTTATTCTTGCCACTGACTAAATGGATAGCAAAGTCCATCTTTCAGGTAACCATCAACTTTCTTTTTGTGCTTTTACTAAATTGCTGTGCGTTTTATAGGTGGTCCATTCCCCGTGGTAAAGCAAGAACAGTTATCCCCCCGCAGCTCTTCCTTGCAAGCTGACAACCTATCGACCCAAGGCACAGCTCATGATGGTGGAAGAGGTATGTTTTGGACATATTTTTTTTAAATAATAATAATAATAATAATACTAATCGTCCAGCCTTTCTGAAGAAACCCGATTCTACGACTTTTTTTTTGGACAATATATTTTCAGAGTTTGGCTGGTCCTGTGATTCATACTCAGGTCAAACTTGTAAGTATATTAAATTAAGAGCTCGGCCTGGCACCCAAAATTCCAGTTCTTTAATAGTGTTGACTTTCTTTTAGCTTTTGGCAAATACTTATTTTGCTTCACTTCTGGTGGTAATGCACCAAAAGTATTTGCCTACCGCCAAAAGAAACAAGACAAGGACGAAGAAGAACACATGCGTTACCATCAGTGCCCACCATTCCCACCGTTAGAACTGAAAGCCGCCGAACATAAACAGAGAGTGACAAATAGTGTCTGTGCGGCGTGCAACAACATGCAGGGTACACTTTGAATAGCATGTGCAAGCATCAAGTTTGCGAGTTACGGACACTACTCTGCAGAGAACAAAAGTGAAAAAAAAATGCCTTTCTTCTGCTTAGTGCCACAGATGTCAGAAAAAATATCATGCGAAGGAGGACACAATTCAAATATGTTCATGCAGTTAATTTTTAATTGTAAGTGTTGTTGATAGTTTTAACCGCTTCTGCTGCTTTTTGTGTCAACAAGAAAGGTCTTACCTTTTTGATTTACATTTTAGCTGTTCAAGGAGGTAGTATCACGAAGGGCATCCCAGGGACCAGAATGCATCCAGATTCTTCAATCTCTTTCAGAGGCGGCTCCATTACTCAGGTGAGCTTAGATTCTTGTTTTGTCTATGGTCCTTCAAATAAGATGAGTATATAGAAAGTGATATATCACAAAAAAAAAAAAAACAAAAAAAAAACAACTGGCTTTTACCGTATTTATTTTTTTCATTTTGATTATCTTTGAATATTAAACCCACATCTTTTCTTTAGCGTATGTACAGTATATCACTTTGGACATTTTTATATAATAGATGATCGCATGGCACTACACTGGCATAGAAAGGACTCACAGATGCTTCTCATTCATGTCGCTGCTGTAGGGTGAGATGGCTCGCCTCCACGTGTGAAAAAGCATCTTTGGAGAAGAATAATTTTATTGCTAGTTGAAAATGAGATCAGACAGAAATTGGAGGTAGAAGGTGCAACGTAACATTCATATAGCCAAAATAAATGCACAATTACTTTGAATAACTTTTCTAAGACTTTTAACAGAACCATTAAGAGTGGAGCTTATTGATACTCTGGTCTTTAATAATTCAACCCCGGGGCCAGTGAAGCCCAGGGCTTGGTACCCATCCCTATATACTGATCCCTATATACAGTATACATACAGTAAATTGTGATTTAAAGCGGTGCTTAACCATATTTACAAGTTTATATATGCCAATGAATGAAATAGTAAAGCTTGCGATACACATTTTCAATAGCTGTGCGCGCCTTGCCGCATTTACTTGAATAAGAGCGAGCTCTCCATTTAAATGAATGAGAGCTCTCCAGGGCTCCAAAAGGAGGGCAAGGCACATCCCGTGGAACCTTCGGTGGTCTTGACTGCGATAAGGGCATTCTTGAGTTGCAGCCCAGAGCGTCGGCACCCCGGCCTGATGGTCATGGCCCCTTCCTCGGGAGTGGTGGCTCGGAGCCACCACCAGAGGACTTCAGGCACAGCAAGGTGACGACGACAAGCTGCCAGTGGCAGAAACTAGGAGAGGCGACCACATGAATGAGACCTCGCTCAAGTGAATGGACCCGGCGAGCATGCTTAGCGAGAGCTTTAAATTGTCAAATTTGTCAGCTGTCACGGTGCAGACTACGGCCGACCAGCTCTTTCATCCGCACCATCACTGCATATCAAATGTTTTAACACCTTACAAATCACCTCAGGCATCTGTAGCGATTGCCTCCAGTCACATTAGCACATCCTCTCCTCCCCTGTTGTCTCACGATTATCATGTTTTATAAAAGGTGGACTAAAACTGGCGACCGTGGCTGCTGGGAGCAAAGTGTAAATGTAGCTTTAAAATACAATGATTGCTCTGGTTGTCATGCTTTTTTTTTTGATACGCAACTCTGGTTGTCATGCTTTCTTTTTATACCGTCTGTGTAAATCTGTTCCAAAGCTGCCCTGCATTCATGTTCACCCGTAGAAAGACTGAGTGAACTAATTTGGAAAAACATGTCAGAATGTAACAAACATGAGGGACCCCATCACAACTTGTCAGGACGGGAGGGAATACAAAAGTGTCCGTGGTAGAGTGCAGGATGACCCGTAGTGCAACATTGATCCTCAGGGACTCAGCAGCCATCACCCCGCGCAGGGGTTACCAAAACAAGACATAACAAAACTTGAATTTGAAATTTTAAAAATTCCACAGTGCACAATATTTCGGTCTGTTGTTGCCATCGGTAAAATAGTGTAAACGTAGCTTAAGTCATATGTAAATGAACCAATATGAACCATGACAAACTACCAAATGTGTATATAGAATGTAGTACAGTATGTGCTCTATGCAAGATACTGCCCCCACTTTCCTCTCATGAGTTTGTGTTTAATGTGTATTGGTTAATAGCGTTTTGCCATAAGTGTGTTAGCTACAAGCTATATGGTGTGTGTTACGTCTGAGCTTGTAGGGAGCAACACACAGACATTCATTTTGTATCCCGATAATACAGTTGATTGGCCTTAAACGGATTCCTTCCGAAGCTATATAACATGCAGCCGTAGTGTTTGTTCTCAGAGCAGCAGAGAGGTCATAAGGCAGACCAAGTGCAGCAGCAACTAGATTTCCCAGCAGCTGTGGCATAACCACAACCCTTGACGGGTACTAGTCACCCTAGCAACAAATACATGGTGTGCTGTGTCTGTACTTATTAATTCTAACCAAACCACTGTAATGTAATACCCAACTGGCTCATTCAGTCTGTGAAGACAGATTAGCAAAGAAAAAGTTAGCGGTGCACAAGCCGTTGTCTTGTGGCAGATCAGTTATTTTCTATCATTCAAAACTTAATGTTGCCAAGATAGTTGATGTTGATAGTAAGATTTATGAAGGCTGAAAATAGGGCTGACCAATTCACAAAATTCAGATTGACGTTGCAATGTAGTAGAATGCAATATTCACATCGCAAAGGCTGCGGTTTTGAAGGCAAAAACAACCTCGGCTTCATTTCGATGGTCTTATTTATTTATTATTAATATAGTGTAATGTAAATGTATATTTGATTTACTTTTGAATTTATGTAGTGTCTGGATAAGTTCAGTGGTAAGAGGTGCTGTCCATTTTTACATATCGTTTCAAAGCGGTCAGATTTGTTTGCTTTGTTGATGTATTCGGATATAGGCTTTGCTGACTTATGTTTAGGCCGCGCTTGTTTGGCAGAATTTTGTGAAGTTGTTGGCGTGACCGCTTAAAACACTAATTTTTGAGTGCTTCTACCCTAATTGACAGAGATAGACTATCATTCATATTCATTCATGTTTCCTTTGCCTTTATTTTAGTGTAAAGCTAACCCGTAAGACCACAACATTTACAGTGTGTATAAGAAGTCTGATATTATTGTAATACAGACTTACTGATTGCTGTTTCCCCCCCCAAAAATACAAAGAAAGAGGGGAAAAAATCATCACATATTAAATTGCAATCGCAATATTGCAGGGGCTGTGGATCAATCGCAATTAGATTATTTTTTAAAATCATTCAGCCCAAGATGAAAATCAAGATTAGGTTCAGCCGACTGAATCAAATTATTATTACACATTTGAATTTCATGTCATCAGTTGAACCATCTGCTTCATGGTAAAATAATGAGTATGGGTCTTCTCACTGTGTCCACAGGGGACACCGGCTGATGTGCTGTATAAGGGAACTATAACCCGTCTGATCACAGAGGACAGTGCTAGCCGTGCTGACAGGGAGCGCGACGACGCCTTGTCGAAAGGTCATGTGGTCTATGAGGGAATAAGTGGGCACATCCTCACATATGACCGTGAGTGTTTTGTACAAACCCAACAATGTCTGTGTAAATGATATCCTAAATACTGAACGCAGTATGTGTACTGAAGAAAAATGTCAAAATGACACTTGAGTTTCAGCTCCAATTTTCATAATGCTGAATTCAAAAGTTGAAGACTTTTTGTACGTACATAAAAAGCCTGTTTCTCTCAAATATTGTTCACAAATCTGTCGAGGTCAATGTTAGTGTGCAGTAAGTCGGCATTGTAAATGAGAAACTGTTCTTAATTGCCTTGCCTGGCGCAACATTGACTTAAAAATTAACAAATATGAGAGGTTGGTGATTTTGACCTGTGAAATGTTGGTCCATTTTATTAAAGGCTGTGTGAAGTTGCTGGACATTGGCAGGAACTGGATGGAATACATTGTATCACTGTGTCCCACGCATCCAAATAAACTTAATGGCCGATATGTCCAGTTAGTATGCACACCATGCAAAAGCCTGGCCTTTTTCAGCTTCCAGGAAATTACTGCTCCTTGCAACATGGCGGCGTGCATTATCATGCTATAACATGAAGTGATGGTTATGGATGAATGGCACAGCAATGGGCCTCAGAATTTCGTCTCGGTGCATTCAAAATGTAATCAATAAAATGCACTTGTCCGTTGTGCATGAGCTACACCTGCCAAAATCGGAACCCTGACATGAAATGCCTCGCCTGTGAGGTTAATGTATTATCGCAACAAAGGAGAAGCCTTCATTAAAACTTACTTGGCCAGATTTAGGAACAATGATTGAGAGACATCATTCCTTTTCTCTTCATAGAAAAAGTCTTTGAGTCAGCAAACAAAAAATGGGAGCAGAAAACGAAAGTGTTTTGTTCATATTTCTGTTTAGTGTATGAAAATATAATAACCACATCTTCCTCTTTGGAACGAATAGGTCCAGTTTCTCAAACCTCTAAAGATGAGGGGAGAGGGCCAAGCCAACCTGGTGAAATTCTTGGCGTAAAGCGTCCTTATGATGTCATGGAGGGAGGCATCTCCCGAGGTCTGCCAATGAGGGATTCACTGTCTGCCTCCAACTGTGAAGGTAACAACTGCTCAATCTGATCTTGTTGGTTCTTGGATTTTTCAGTTTCCACTCTTAGTATTAAACTCGCTTTGCCACTTGTCCAACTTCAGGTCTTATTGGTCGAGCCATGCCTCATGACAGGGACAGTCCACACCACACACCTTATAAAGATGCTCACCACATCCGCGGTTCCATCTCCCAAGGTAAAATAACTATTGATTGCTCAACTTCAATCATTCATAGCACCAAGTTATTTTGATCTCAAGAAGAGAACCACTGTGTCTAGGCTGTGTCACCCATTCATTTTCTATTTTTTTTTTTTTTAACTAAAGCTGACGGTAAAATGATTGTACTCTACGCCCTATTGATATATTCTCTTTTGAAATTCGATATTCTCATGGTGACAGGTATACCACGTCATTTGGACCCTCAGGATAGCTACTTGAGAAGGGAGGCAAAGCAAATGAAAAGAGAGAACTCTCCGCCACGTGGGGCCACGTCACTGTCGGACCCAATGAAGAGCAGAGAGGCTATGGTGCCCACAGTAAAGGAGGCTGGACGCTCCATCCACCTCATTCCCAGGGAGGAGCTCAGACAGACAGCCAAGGAGGGCATTATAACACCGGTATACATATCATTAAAATGCATCCAAGCGCTTTGTAAACGTTATTTATTTTCTTCCAATACCTGATTGAATGTTCCTGTTCATACGTCTCTTCAGGGAACACCCATGAAGCAGGAAGCTGCTGGCTCAGGTAAACGACATGATGTTCGCTCCATCATAGCCAGTTCACCACGTTCCTACCATAACACGCCCCCTCACCTGGAGATGCGGGCTGAGAGGGGACGCTATGAAGAGGCACCCAAAGGACGCCCGAGTGCAGTGGTCAGCACCGCTAGCCCAATAGCACGCTCTTCTCCCCTGACACTCGCTTCAGAGCAGGGAGCTAAATCCCATCATAGCCCAGTAGGCTACGAGGACAAAGGCACCTTAAGAAACCCCTATCCTGGACCATCACACCGTTGCTCACCTCTCTCAAGGGAGGCGAGTCAAAGGCAACATGATGGTGAGGACATTGATGTTTCTTACTGCTACCTCTGCAGGGCTGAGTCAAAAACTAAAGTTTTGGATTCATAGTGTAATTGTTTCCTTTTGTCTTCAAAAAGAAGAAGTATTTGATGTTTTGACATTTTGTTCTATTTGTACATTTTGTTTTATTCTCTCCAGGCTGCAGTAAGAAAGAACCTCAGGAGCGTAAAGCCACACCGACCCCAAGGGAAATGAGTTCTACCAAATCCCCTCTCCCAGGGGTTCCTGACCAACAGACATATGAGCGTCTGTTGCAGGGCCTTGGAGCTGATGTTTACAGACAAATTCCTTTGGCCTTTGATCCTGCAGCTCTGCCTCGCGGCATCCCCATTGACCCAGGTACAGTCACAGTGACTGCTTTGCACACCGATGATGACTGAATGAGTTAAGGAGGGTGGCGGGTGGGATCGTTGAAAGAGTTATGGGACACCATCAAGTCTTCTCATTATAAAGCTTCAATGGTCTTAATTGTGGGTATATTTGAAATCACCCTATTTTTCTCCCCTGAATACAGCCTACTACTTGCCTCGCCATCTGGCCCCCAACCCTGCATACCCGCATCCCTATCCCTACCTCATCCGGGGCTTTCCAGACACAGCGGCCCTCGAGAACCGTCAGACGTTGCTCAATGACTACATTACTTCCCAGCAAATGCACCAGTGGCCTGCAGCAGCTGCTATGGCTGCCCAGCGCTCAGACATGCTCAGGGGCCTTACACCACGAGATCAGCCCCTTCCTCTGCCTTACTCTGCAGCCCCTCGTGGTAAGACCATTTCGTTGGTGTTTATTGGCTAAAGGTTTGAAGGCACCTTCTCCACCAATTACTCCACCAATAAATCCAAATGTACTCAAGTCAAGGTTCGGTTTGAACGAAAGCTTATTATTATGTTTGACCGAAAGAGAGACTCCATCATCAGAACGTGAGCATGACAATGGTGGTCAGTATTTCTGGGTTAATCCTTACAAAGCTGCTCTTCGTGTTATTGTTTTAAGTCTGAGCCTCTATTACTCTGTTATTGTAGTTCTGAGCCCCCTTAACTGTGGCAAAATATATGCTTGATGTTAATATTAAGTTAAAATAATGAAAGTTGATCTGTGAAATGACAGTCAATCTTTGATGTCTTCTCAGTGCAGTCGTAATGCTGATTTGGCCAATGATTAAAATGAGTTGCAACCGCCTGCTTTAAACCATCGCATGGCTATTTGCCCTTAAAACTTTTTTCGCTCTCCTCTTCTTTCCCCCTCTATTATAGGAATCATTGATCTATCTCAGGTGCCGCACTTACCTGTCCTGGTCCCTCCCTCTGCAGGGACAGCCAGCTCGCCAATGGATCGTATCACCTACATCCCAGGGGGAAGCACCACCTTCCCCGGCAGGCCTTACACCACTCCCCCAATCTCACCCGGTATGACAAGTCATACCAGTAATTGTTACCAGTCGCACTAGTAATCATTACTGATATAATAATTACTGTGTCTGTCTGTTTCTACAAAGTTGGCTCCTCGCACATGAATAAGATGCAAGGCGCATCTTCCTCTTCAGAACGAGAGCGTGAAAGAGAACGTGATCGTGACAGAGACAGGGATCGGGAGAGAGACCGGGAGCGGGAGAGAGAGCGCGAGCGTGAACGGGAACGAGAACGGGAGAGAGAACGAGAGAGGGATCGCGACAGGGACAGAGAACGGGACAGAGAAAAGGGTGGAGCAAACGTGGAGCATGCCCCCATTTGGCGACCAGGTGTGGAGCCCAGTGTGATTTTTTTATTATCCATCAAAGTCCAGGAGGGGGGAGAATATATTTGAATGTGTGTTTACCTGTTTGTGCCTCAGGTACAGAGCACAGCTTAGCAAGCAGTAGCAGTGTGAGACCTTCTTCCCAGCCATACAGCCACCAGCATTCCCCAGTGTCCCCTCGCACCCAAGACAATGTGCAGCAAAGGCCAAGCGTCCTGCACAATACCGGAAGCAAGAATGTCTCTGCCGAACACTCCAGTTCCTCCGTGTTACGGTAAATGCCGATTATTGTTTCAGTGTTTCAAACCAGCATGGAATCAGTTTTAAGAGTGAATTAAATGCACACATGCATCTCCCCCTCACCAGATCCATACCCTCAGGAGCTTCCCGCTACCAAGGTTACCATAGTCATCTTCAAAGGACTGGCTTGCCCCCTGAGGCCTATGCACCTGCACTGGACTCGAGCATCGGCAAAGAACAGAGTCGTGATGGCAAAAACAGGGGATTACCGAAGCAAGTCCAAGACCAGCATGGGCCCGCTAGCAAGTCAGACCCCAAGCTTTCCAACCCCAGCCAGGGAGGATTATATCCAGGTCCTTATTCCTCAATTTCCGGACGACCACCACACCTGCAGTTGGATAACCCTCCTGGCCGTGGGGAAAGTGGTACACCTAGTAGGGAAAAGACTCAAAACAAACCGATGTCCATTCAGGAACAAGAACTCAGAGCACTCGGTAAGACCACCATGACTGCGGCCAACTTCATAAACGCGATTATTATGCGTCAAATATCTTGTGAAACGGGGATGCCAGAGACGGGCTCGCTTGTTGCCACCAGCGCCACTGATGGTAAGATGCTGTTGATCCTAGGGTCCTGTTATCACCCAGACACGCCCCCGTCAGTCTGTGGCCTTTTGCACGCTGTGGTGGTTGGCATTATCAAATCAGCCCTATTCATTTACATTTTTGTTCTTTTAATTGTTATACTATATCCTTTAAAATAAAATGATTCTAAACTTAAAGACCACCCAGGGTGCCCTCTGAAAAACAACTCTTGCATACCCAGATTCCACCTCACTGGCTAAAATGAAATGAAGAGTCTGATTGAGAACTGATGCAATCTCAATTTCAGGCATTTTATATTCACTGAGGAAGAGCAATATCCCAGGTGTCCTTTAAGGTGTCAGCTTCAAATCGTGATTGCTAATCAGACATCAAGTCAGAAAATCACTTCATTGTCTTTACATCAAAGATTTGTTGGAAAATTCACACGTAGGCACCCCTCCTCCCTCCCTTTTGGCCACTCACTTGAAGCATCGTTGTTTAAAAGTGGTAACAGGCATGACTAAAATGAAATTGAAATTTCGTCACGATTGGGATTGTTTGTCTCAGATATCTTATAGGCCCAGAACAAACATATTTCACTTGATACATGTATCGGGTGACAAAAGAGCCCCATTAAAATGGCACTATCATCAAATGCTGTTACTCCAAGTCAGAGTAACAGTTACATAAGAAAGGCCGTGCGCTGAAAGCTGTGCCAACCACCAGACAGACTTCTGTTGTTCCACGTGGTATGTGACTCAGGCAGCTCGAAGCTTCTCAGAGGGAGATGGGGTACTACTGATTCCTGCCCTCGAAGTCTTTGCATGCTTCTTGTTTTGGCATCATAATTTACTCCGAAGCTATCCCTCTGCCCCCCCCCCCTCGCTACTGTGAGGAAGAAGGAGGTGCAGAACATTGGACTGATCAAAAAAGATGATGACTGAAATGGTAGCTGTGCAGCCGACTGGCTCTACATACTAACCACGTGCGGTTGGTCATGATCCCTGTTCCTAACTTGGACGCCACCATTGTCCCGATCTTGGCCGTTAAAGCGCAAATCAGTCTAACCAGCTACGGCTCTTTTTACGACGTCTCCCTGACTTGAGGTTTAAAGTCATCTGTGACGCTGACCTCTTTTATCTGTAAGAACGGAACGGCCGCTCATTTTATACCAACATCCTCGTCCAATATGCTCCTGCAGAATCAAATGCTTAGTCCATCCAAATTCTTCAAACGTGTTTTCCATCTTAAGTGTGCTCTTGCTATTTGTGTTTCAGTCTAAATAGAGCTGTTGAGTTACTTGTTCATGGCAGTACTTTAACTGAACTACTACTCTTAAGATTTTCCTTTTGACACTAAGATTATACATATTAAGCTTCTCTGAACTTTTCATTTAATAGCTCAAGCAGCTGTTCTGCTCCACAATTTTTTTTAACGGAAATGAAAAAAAGGTCTTCCCATATAGATACACATACACATTAAAATCACTATGACAACATCTGCACTAACTGCAAGCGTGAAGCGCAATTGCTGCTTTTATTAAAACTGCTCAAAATAAATCCACATGAACATCAACATCATTGGTGTTTCCGGTACTGTTAATTGGCGTTCAATAACAAGTAGGAAAGTCTAGAGGGAGAAAGGCAGCCTGTTTTAAGCTGTTGTTTCGATACATTTTTGTCATTCGTTACTCGCAAACAGAAGTCAAAACAACTGTGCCTTTGGAGGATGTCTCCTCTGAGGGATTCCATGCAATCATTGCTATCCCCCGCGAACAGCTTGCATCATCATCTCCTTACATTTACACTGTTGGGGAGATGCATTTTATGGCAACCTTCATGAATAATTTCTTTATGATGATCTGCTTGGAAAAGCTAGTTCTTGGTTGGACATTATTTACAGTATTCATCCAGTCCGTGTTTCATTCGTCAAATTCTGTTTGGATCAGCTGAAAATTCATTTTGACATTTAAGTTCTTGTCAAAAGTAAGAAAATGTCCCAACTACTTTGGATTTTAATCGAAAGCTTGCCTAACAAGATGTTTTAGTGTTTTAACACTGTATTATTGTTGCGCAAAAGAAGGGATGATAAAGGACAATACACTTTCCTGATCAGACATTTTATGGCATATGACATTGTTAAATGTTACATCCACCAAAGATGGTGAGGGGTGGACTCGATCTTAATCCTGCATGTTTCATTAGCACATTTGTTGTCTTTGATTGGACACAAAGCACATTACTTATGTGGATGTGTGTGTGTGTGTGTGTGTGTGTTTTTTTTTAATGACCTCACTGTGTTTGTTTTTAACTCCCAGCTCCACAGAAGATGGAGTCACATGTTCTGTACCGTCCTCCATCTGAGGAGAGGCTGTCCCCAGGTCAGAAGCCACCTTCTCCCTGTGTCAAAGGAAGCCAAAGGGTGGTCACCCTGGCTCAGCACATCAGTGTAAGTCCACACCCTAACATTTTCATAACTGTCTGTATCGTCTTGAGTGTAGCCTGTGACCACGTAATGTCGATACCTTTTTATGGCAACAGGAGGTGATAACGAAAGATTACACAAGGCAGACTCAGCAGCAGCATCAACAAAGTTATCATGGCTCACCCATCCTGGACTTGACCCGTCCTCTCAGTGCCTCACAGCCCCAGCCCACATCCCAAGAGTCTCCCCAAGTGACCCGCTATCCTGAGGGCCTTGGGGGAGATCGTAACAGAGACCGGTAAGAGTCATTACAAAGCAGGAGCAGACATGATCAACTGTCTGCGGTTGTGCAAGGAAAGCCTGCATGACTCCATATGACTCCGTTTTATTTCTGACATCTAATAGATGTATTCATAGGCTCCAACTACTCGTGTCTCATCGACACATGAGGGTACGTGGAGGGATCAAAGGTCACTCGTGTGTGTGCTCTGCAGGTCTCCTCCTCAGTCCAAGTCTTCTCCGATCAGTGTTTCCAATGACTGTATTGAACCGGTATCTCCTGCCGGAGCCAATTCTGGGCCCGAAATCCAGGGAGGAGTGTCCTATCCTAATGAACAAGGAGAGCAAGCGTAAGACTTTGTTGCTATGGATCTATTTCCCACATAAGTGAGAGTTATATATTTCCTTTGAGTGTTTGATGAGCCCCAGACTTCCTGAGCGTAGGCTCGTCAGTTCTCCTCCATGTTATGCAGCGCGGTTAGCTCCAAAGTACTCTAGCTGGTTCGGCTGTGCCTTCTGTTGACCAAGTACTTTTCCATCCCACAGAATTAGCTCCCGTTCGCCTCCTAACGCCTCTCAGCCTCCAGCTTTCTTCAGCAAGCTGACTGAGAACACCTCCGCTATTGTGAAATCAAAGAAGCAGGAGATGATCAAGAAGATGACTGTAGTGGGAAATGAGAGTGATTTCAGTGAGTATTTAACTCGAGCATGGTTACTTTTGCAGCCTGATAACAATTTCTAAGTGTGCATACTTACAATTTCAGATGCAGGTCAGCCTGGAACAGAAATCTTCAACATGCCAGCATCTACAACAGCAGGTCACTTTCTCCCTATTGACATCCCTACATGCCATGTTGGTTGTCGTCATTTCGGTTTACTTTCCAGTGTCTTTACTTCATCCCGTTGCTTACTTTCTCTTCATCCAATAAGTTTAAGGAATTTTCATGAGTCAACATCTTCTCTCTTCAAACGTTCACTGTTTAAATTGAATGTTGTGTTTGGTTTTCTGATTTGATGAATGGTCCATTCCCTCTCTTGAACAGGATCTGTGAGTGTCCGCAGCCACCCAACTCCAGAGACACCTGGCAGCTCCATAGGTCTAGAGGCCATTATAAGAAAGGCGCTCATGGGAAAATTCACTGATCAGCCTGAGGAACGCTCCCCAGCCAGTGCTGCTAACCCACTCACGTCGGGTCTGCCTGTCTCTCTGAGCGGAACTGATGGACGAACTGATGACAGTTTCTCACAAGGTGATGAGTTTCTCCAAACATGTACAAACCACATCAAAACCTGCGAACACGATCAGCGATCCGAACAAGTTTACGGTTTAGAATGTACAAGATGCGGTTAGCATCATCTTAAACATCAGTATGTCTTACACAGTGTCCAAAGCGAAAACTCACTTAAGATGCATACCGGGGGAGAGAAGGACACATGTTGAAAACCCATCAACTGATTGGCAGGCAATGGAATCTTAAATTTTGCATTAAATGAGCCTTAAAATTTGCAGTATCGACTGCATTATTGCCTTGACAGAGCGATGTTCCATTCAGTTTGGAAGAAAAAAAAAATGTTGCTGGTAGTGTGTATAATTCCGCAGCAGCTACTGTGTTTACACTACACATAGCATGGTATTTGGCAATGTCTTTGTGTTGTGCTTTCGCCATAGAGCAAGACAAAAATGATAAGGGAGGGTTGTTGTTGTTAGATATCTGAGTACAGTACACAGAGAAAAAGTTACAGTAGACTTGAGGTGGTTTGATGGCAAATGCATTGCTATTATCTACGAATTTTTTGGGGCATAGCACTGACCAAGCAGACTGCCTGCGCACCACAAAAGTTGTATTAAACGAACGCACGCACGCACGCACGCACGCACGCACGCACGCACGCACACACACACACACACACACACAAAAAGCGAATAATACTTTTTCATTTCATACTAAGCAACACGTCAAGAGGCAAAAGGCTAGGTAGAGCCGGGACTGGTCGCCACAGCATGACAAAGCATATAGACAAGCAACCATTCACACTTTTATTCATACTGATGGACAATTTGCAATCTGCAATTAACCCAAGGTGCATGTTTTTGGAATAAGCGGCAGGACCTGAAACAGGTCACTGGAGAACAACCCCCATGCAAAATAAGTGTGCTCAAGCTTAGCGGCATCTGGTATGGCTTGAAATGCTGTCGCAGGTTCAAGCTCCGTCGTCTTTTTGTAGGTGGTGGGAAGCCCTCAAAGGCCAGTGGTCGTTCTAATGGGCGCAAGGCCAAGTCTCCGGGACCCGGCCTTTCAGGGGGTGAAAGGCCATCGTCAGTGTCCTCAGTTCACTCAGAAGGAGATTGTAACAGAAGAACACCACTGACCAACCGAGTCTGGGAGGATAGACCCTCCTCCACAGGTAATTGATGCCCCTCCAAAAAGGATTAGAATTGCCTAGAGATGCCATAAAAATGGTGGCAAAGTACAACTTTTATCTCAGTGAAAGTCCTCAATTCACTGCAACGTAGTTCCTTGGTCTCACAATACCACAAGACAGTGCCGAAGTCATTCGTTTAATGTTTCAGCATGGGCACAAAACAGCAACAAAAAAACAGGAAGATAAAAATACAGTAAATTTGCAATTAGGTGAATTCACAAATGCCAAGTGACAAAAAAATTGTGGGTTCACTGTAGATTGTCCAACACACCCTCTTGTGCTTCTTTCAGGTTCAACGCCAACTCCCTTCCCGTGCAACCCGTTGATTATGCGTTTCCCCAGCGGGACGGTTTCAGTTCCCTCCCCTTCGTCCGGGCAGCCAGTCGGCCACGTGCCCGGTCAGGGACAGGGCCGCACCTGGGAGGAGGAGCCCAAGCCGCTACTCATGTCTCAGTACGAGTCCCTGTCTGACAGCGAGTGAGCCACAATGCCACCATACACGCAAGTGCACGTCAGCGAAACATCCCGCACCATTCCACTCTGCATTTCCTTCTTCGGTCCACATGCTCACTCCAGGAAGATCTGAACAACTCCTCCCTTTTTTCACACCGTGTTGGCATCTCCTCACTGGCCTTATCAATTTGGGCGCATCAACCTTCATCGCACTCAAGTGCTTACGCTTTCTTTGATGGATGGGATTCTTGACGACTTCGGTTGGTTCCCAAGTGTGGTGGCTCCTGCGCCTGCCTTAAGCGCAGCAGTCCATCTACCAAGAGACTCATCTTACATTTATTTACGGTGTCTACACTGCTGCAAATGCACAAGTGCATGCAAGTGATGGGACAAAACATTATTTTTTTTCTTGTTTCTTCTTTTAAGTCACTCAATGCAGCCTTCTGGTTGGAAAGCGATCGCAAACGCAAAGTATGTTTTAATGGTGAACGTTCTATGGTTGTACTGTATGTGTGGTCCTTGATCTGCAGTGACAAATGCTTTTAGGGTGGGGAGGGATTTGAGCACAGGAGGGTCATATCATTGGTTTACAGGGTAAACATGCTGTCTGTTGCTGATGTCATCATGCATTGGCGAGGGTCCAGAGGAAGAGCTGAGGCCTGCTGCTGTCAGGTGTCCCGTGAGACAATTAGCCACATGATGGCACTCAGACAATGGACACTTTCTCGCTGTTTTTATATTAACCGCATCTGTGTTGATTGAACTGTATTTTTGGGATATTAAGCACTTAGTTGTCGGCCTGTCCAGAAGGGCATAGTGGAGAATCCGGTGACAAAATGGACCTGAGAATAGCATGGCAGCCCGTGGTGGAAGGTCTCCCCGTCCTGTCGAACTCACCACCAGTCATTTCAAATAACACAAGCGACAATCATGTGAGTGAAGGAGAAGTCGAGCTGGTCCTTCACACTGACAAGGCGTACCTCAGTCCTTTGCATCGTCTTCAGCTGACCTGCCAGAATCTCATCTTGGAGCTTTTGTGACAGTCTGACCATTAACCTTGTACTGCATAGAGGGAAGACCCTTAGCTTCTCGTCTTTTGTACATTATAATATATTCTTAGTGGTAAGTGCCATTTATTTTACACGCACAGTACTGAAGTTACCAAGTGACGCACAATTGTGTTTTTTTGTTTGTTTTTGCCCCTTCCCTTGCCAGGGGTCCTATTGTCCATGCTGGGAATTGTACGAACGAGAAGCAAATGAAATGTCTTTGTCTGCGCATCTGTCAGTCACACACGAGACCCGCCGAGCTTTGAAACCACACACAGAAGCAATCAGTCCTGCATTCAATGTTTTTTCCCTGGCGGCAACTTGTGACAGTCTACTTCACTGCGCCTGCATTTGGTCGGGTTCATGAGAAATACTGAAATGGGAAAGGATTTAAAAACAAACAAACAAACAAAAGTGTCAAGTTGATCCACTCTGTGTCAAGTGTCCAATGTTGGATGCCATCATCTGCGAGTCCGGAGTTTCCTCCATCTTGTAGTTTATTTGAGCACAGCGACGTCCACGTGTTGACTGTTCTAGGACTACCTCCTCTCCCTCCTCCATCCTGCCTGTGGATGCTGAAGCATGTCACGTCTGCACAATGCTCATCTCAGCCATCTCCTAGGTGGAATTGGAGTGTTTTGTCCCCAGGTGAAGACAAGTGGACTTTATGTAATATCGCCAGATGTTGTACAGTATATCTCCCTCCGCGTTTTTGTCATGAATCCATCGATGAAGTTTAAGAATGTGACCATAAACAGACAAAGCCATATCTAGCTGTTGCTTTAACAGATGACAGACTAATCCATTGATTTGAAAGCATATACAGTACTAAATTGAATTTTAACATGCGTCATTTTGCCTTTGCTCACACAATTTTGTCCACCCACCGTTTCCTTACATCTCAAAATACCTGATGTGGTCCCTGGAGGGAGCGAGGGAGGGCCGGGGGCTATGGGGAAATTCTAACATTGTTCAAACATTTTGTTTGTAACGTTTTTTATGTAATTATATCCCACTGTATAATAGCAAGGATTGTATATAAAACTAAATAGATGTAAATATTTATGTGGCTTGCTTCTAGGTTATTACAAAAAGAAAACAACAAAAAACACATGGATAAATTCTACATGCCCACCAGCAAGCTTTGTGGATAGCAGTGTACAAATGGAAAACAAATAAGACACTGCCTTAATGTTTAAATAAAAAGCTTATTGCCATTCGGTCTCGGAGTGACTTTATTAGCAGAAAGTGTGAAGTGGACAGTAGTACTGTAATTGACGTTCATGTGCCAGTAGGTGGGGTCATAAGTCTACATTTGCATGTTTCGACCTTGTCACTGGCAGGTGATTGTTTGAGACTCCCAAGAGATTCTACCCTTGGGACACGGTCTGCAAAATGTTAGGCATGGCTAGCATGTCCTGGCTCATACTAATTGTGATTGAGGTTCGGGCTCTCATGTTCTATTCAACCGAGACCACAATGAGAAGAATCTACACCAAGTGGGAAACAATCATGAAGTAGCACAAAATTCATGTGATATTTTAATTTTTTTTTTTAAATAAAAATGTGGCGTGCAAAATTATTCAGGCCATTATAAACTAATCTTTTGGCTTACGTCTCGTCACTTGTGCACGTCTAGAGATGTTGCCCATTCTTCCTTGCAAAACAGCTCCAGCTCAAGTTGATTAGATGGAAAGTGTTTGTGAGCACCAATGTTCAGATCTTGGCACAAATTCTCAATTCGATTCAGATTTGGACTTTAACTTGGCCATTCTAACAACACCTGGATATGTTTAGTTTTGAACCATTCCATTGTAGAAGTTGCTTTAGTATTTCGGATCTTTGTCTTGTCGGAAGTTCAATGTCCATCCCAGCCTCAGGTGTTTTGCAGGTTTTCTTCCAAAATGGCCCTGTAATTGTCTCCATCCATCTTCCCTGTCCCTTCTGAAGTAAAGCAGCCGCAGATGACGATGCCACCAGCATGTTTGACAGTAGGGGTGATGTTTCCAAAGCGATGTGCAGTGTTACTTTTACGTGTAAACATTTATGGTTTTATTGGAAAATGTCTTTTTTCTTGTCAGTCTTCCATAAACGCCAGATTTGTTGCGTGTGCGACTCATAGTTTTCCTTTGTACAGATTCTCCACTTTATCTCAGGATCTCTGCAGTTCATCCAGAGTGATCACGGGCAACTCTCTGATCAGTGCTCTCCGTGTTTGGGCTGAAATTTCAGAGGGATAGCTGGTCTTGTGAGGTTTGTAGTGGTCTGGTACTCTCTCTGCATTCCAATATGATCAATCGAACATTGCTTGGCAAGTTGGGTTTTATTTTCCTCCTATAATATCCTAATCCTGCTTTAAACTTCTCCCAACTCTATCCTGTGTGTTCCTTGGTCTTCATGATGCTGTTTGCTCCCAATTTTCTTTTCATAGACCTCTTGAGACCATTCTGGAGCCAGGCGCATTTATACTGAGACTAGATTACCGGTTACACACAGGTGGACTCTTTTGATCATGATTAGTCATTGAGGTCAACATTGGATAATTCCGAAATTATCAGGGAATTCCTGTACACAGGTGGCTGAAATAAGAGAAAAGCGGATGAATAATTTTGCACGCCCCACTTTTCAATGACGTCATTTAAAAACGGAAATCTCACCATGTTGATGAGCACACGTTCAATTCTTTCAATTTGTATTTATAACAAAGTGCATAACTGCAAAGCAGTCTGGAAAGAAACTGCGTATGTAGTGTTACCAATTAAATATTGATTTTTCCAAAATCCCAAAGTAAATGACTCTTAGTCCAAAGTATTGATATATTTTTTTATTATTTCAATTACAATATACATCTTTAAATTAGATCAGAACAGAAACAACAGCTGACGTACAAAAATATAAAGAGAAATATGAAGTGCCTCAAGTCCACATATACATCAGGAAACTATTTTACATAATAACAAACTCAAGTTTTGAGAAAACACAGATTTTGAACTCACATGAATGCAACAAAATACTTGACAAGTTCACATCTAACCGGCTCTTCTCATCATTCTCCTGACACTTCACGGACCATCGACACCTGACTGCTCCTTCAAATTCTTTGCACTCGTTTCCACAGCTCCATATGGGACTCAGGGTAACTGATGAAGCTGCCATCTCTTTGATCGCAACATACTGTTCCCTCGGTTAGTCATGGCATGCACCACTCGTACGGCTTCCACACACCTGCAGGCTTTTTTTTTTTCCACGGAGCTAAACTGACAGATCGAGGTCTAAAACTCAGTTGTGTACACGTTTGTAAAATGAAATAGAACATTAGCTGATTTCAATCTCTTCCACCGAGTGATTGCAAACAAATCCGATTTCAGGCAAGTGGTTTTGACTTGCAGATCCACAATATGAGATGTGTTAAAAGCTCTTGACTCTGAATTGTTGGCTTTGCCCTTGGGAGCCTGATTTATTAAAATCCCAATTAGCCGGCCCAAAAATTGCATGTCCACTTACTCCAACTGATTGCACGCGCTGTGAATTCCATGCATCTGTCCATCTTACATAATATTTCAAATTTAGGACAGCAAACTGGAAAAACTGGTAGAGGCCAGCATCAGCTGTCAATGTGCAGGTACAAAGAGTTTCGTCCAAGTGGTGTGGCGCAACTCTTTGCTGTGACTCCAGTCAGGCCTTAAATCATTCACAAGCTCCAGAATTGCTTTTCTCAATGTCACTTTTTCCTCCTGGAAGTTCCACCTGCTACCTATTCTGTTCTACGCTAGCAATGCTGCACGCACAGATTTGCATCTGCCTTTCAGATGGTAGCTAGATGCAAACTCAGCCATCACAAATCATCTCAGGTTTAATAGACAGTCTCACATTGCAGCATAATAAACGTATCTATTTGCATGTACTTCTTCCACAGTGTACAAAATAAACGGTGTCAATTTTGCCCGTTTGGCAGATGAGCCATCGCATTAGCACTGAAGTCTGCACCCATTTTTTGCACGAGAAAATTTTCGTGAATCAAGCTCTAAGTGAATTGGTCTGCTAGCAAATTAGAAGAGGAGAAAAACGATTTTGTCAACATTCCCCATATGCATCAAATGAAGCTATTTGCCATGGTAAAAACATTGTTTGTTTTTTTGCATTAAGCAAAGCAGTTGAAACTATGAAAAGATTTGTCGACAACATGCCACAAACATTTTAGTGTCCACCCGGAGTCTAACCCGATCTTCTCACTTTCAGTTTACCTTCATCATTCGAACAAAAAACACATGTTAGAGCTCTCTAAATGTGTCATTTCCTGAAGCTAGCTTAATGTACAAAGGAATATTAGACCACGCTGTTATGGCAATAAAATAAAATTGAAGGTTCAACACAAACAGCAACCAGTTTCTCTCAACAGACCCGCCATACAATCATGGGTAATTAATATGAAATAGTTCTTGAAAACACCCCATAGATCATCAATCCATCTCAATAAGAGATTTCAGTCACTGTGGTTCTCTCAGACTCATTTAACTGCTCACAAGGGTGTTGTGAAAAATACTTTATTCTAGTGGGATCGTCGTGTTGTGTGTTTTTTTACTTTTGCATTGTGGCACTAATACTCCAGTGTATAATTGGAAGTGAATAAATAGGTTGCCTTGGTACAATTGAGTCAGCTATAAATACAGTGAGGAAATGGTGTGGTAAACCCATGTGCAGCTTGTGTGGCTGTTGACTGACTTTGGTCCAATAGTTCAAACACACACACACACACACACACACACACACACACACACACACACACACACACACACACACACACACACACACACACACACACACGATGCTTTTCATATCCAGGAACAAGTGCAATGGAGCTGTAATTTGAAAGGCTGCACCATCTTGCATGATTCAATCCTCAGCTCTTCATTGTGAAATTTTTCTCCACTCGAATGATTCTTTTCACCGAGGTCCATCCTGCAGGAGCGCAGGTTTTTTTTTTGTCAGCTCTAGTTTTCTTTAGATAGTAAGACATCAAGCCAAAGAGGTACAACGGGAGCCTTTTTAAAAACGGCGCCAGTACAAAGTTGAAAGATTTCCTCTGGGGTGAGACGAGATGAACAAAAAATAGGGTGAAGCTTTCAGTTATCTTGTGTTGCCCCTCTAATCTGTTGTCCTCAAGTCCTAAGAAAAAAAAAAAAAACAACAACTAGCTCGTGTGCGGGCCTACAAGTCCTCTGTGTAGATGATACAGGGACTTGAATCGTCGCTGGACTCCAGCCGCACTCTGGAGACGAACCAGCGACGTGCAGCCGCGGCCTTGTAGGTGAGCGTGGTGCGGTAAATGTTCTTGGCGTGTTTGGGGTACACGATGGTGGTGCTCTGGTAGTTGATGGGCTTCTGCCGCGGCTCCAGGTACACTTGGGATTTGTAACTCCTCCAGGTGCAGTTGGGCACCGCCACCACCGTTTCGCTGTACGAAGTCGCCGTGGGGACGGGGACGCAGTACACTCGGTCTTGGTAATGCTTGTCCGAATCGTACCGGACCGCTGAAGTGCACCTGCAAGAGATGCTATGCTTGAGTACAGGAAGTTTATGACAAAGGTCATCTTTTTATGTATACGCCACTTACTTGACTTGTTTCTCTGGCTTTGGGTCAACCTCGATGCTCTCTCCATAGAAGACAGGATACATGCGAGTCCTGGGGTCTGTTCCTGTGTTGTTGAGCAGCAGGTAAGGCAGCTGGGAAGAGGAAAGATTCGGTATCACAACCAGGAAGCCTTCTGAGCAGATCCGAGTGCTGCTAACATATCCTTAAACAAAGAGCTCAGCACGCTGGGGGCTTGAGCAGAGCCAACAAAAACCTGAATTAAAACCACTGCAGTTCCCACCATGTTAATGTTTCATTAGAGTTGGAAAGGGGTGGAACATCTCCAGCAAATTTCCATGGGAAGCTAAGATGAGGAATTTTGGAAATATTCCAAAACGGAAATCAACTGGTTAGCACGTCTGCCTCACAGTGCAGAGGTGCAGGGGTTTCGATTTAGTGGTTTTTTTTTTTTTTTTTTTAATGTATTGAAAGTATTCAACTCTGCCTGATCTTGGACAATTATGAAGTTAATAATGATCAGAATAGCTTTCTGATCAACTAATCATTAGAACATTGGATATGCATGGAGCGAAAAAATCATTTCAGTCATACTTTTGGAAATAGAGCATTTTGTAAAAATATATGAAATAATGACAAATGAATGAGTCTTTAAGAGCTAAAAGATGACCATTTACCAAATAAAAATGTTCACTTTAAACTCCAAATTTTGCCAGAGTATGCATAAATCTGGGCTCTATTGTATTCCACATATTCTTTTTCGTTTTCTTTTCAATGAATATTGCGAACCACTGTTACCTTTCAAAAACACTCGTCCGATGCTAAAATGGAAACCACTAAGGTCCAAATAAATATCATCCTCCTGAAAGTAACCAAAATGGTAGATATTATGGTAGGTAAGTATGCCAAACAAGTGTGTTTTAGAAAGTCAACAACCAAAGGACAGGAAGTGGGGAAAAACAGAAAACAGGTGGCTGCTTGGTGTGCAGTAGGATGTGAGCGAATGCGGGAGGAATTTGAAACAATCATTTATCTTTGTCACCGAGTTGTTGCTGTGATGATTTTTTTCAGGGATCTGTTTTAACAGCATTTTTATTCTATCTGGTACGCAAGCTCGGTTTGAAATAATGCACTTGCTCAAAAATATTTCGCTTTCAATCCTTACATGGTCTATCCTTGCAAGAGATGGCTCTCCCAAAAAAAAAAAAAATGTGTGTGTGTGTGTGTGTGTGCATGTGTGGGTATATATATATACCCACACATACACACACACACATACAGTACACACATATGTGTGTGCATGGACTTGTAGCTTCTCGCTTTGTGCAGATGCTTGTCAGCCACGAAAGAGGAAATCTGCTCAAATGAGTGTGCAACAATCTGTACCGCTTGAACTCTGTCAAATATGGACCATTTTTCTAATCCACTTGCAAACTGCGCCGTTCCAGATGCTGCAGCCAAACTTGTGCTCGATGGCCGCCTTTGCATGTGAACCCGGTCGGACCATGTGAAGCGAGCGGTTGCCCAGGCCCCGGCTCCCGCGCTCCTCTCACATTACAGTGGGAGCCGGTCACATGCTGCGGCTTGGACACACTTAAGCACACATGCCAGGACGGGGAATGGGCGAGAAGAGGCCAAGGGCACGGCAGATCAGTGCATCAGGCTCGTCTTTCCTCTGCGATCTGAATGTTTGGAACCAGCAGCTGTGTTCCATGTTCATGTGCACACTTCTTTGAATTTTAACGACTGAACCATCATCATCATTACAGCTGCAGCGGATCCTCTGCTTTGTTGAGGTACAATGTTCACACATCCACTACATCACAGATTTTTAAATGATGATGACTATTATTATTGTTAATGTTTTTTCAGGATACAAGTCTGAATTTCAAGTTGTGCAGCTTTCGTGTAGTTGTGCCACAACATGTCAAGTAGCACTGAGGTCTAATGAAGGGATGCACCCAGAATGTTTTTAGTGCTGTGGCCATACACGAATTATTCACAATTCTCAATATTACTTTGTAATTAAGTTTGTTTCTGATTGTATTATGAGTGTGTATACAATATTGGCACACTGTGACTGTGGATGGTATGATAAACAATGACTTCTCAGCCATGCCGTTTAGTTCCTCTGATGTGAAAATGGCAGAAAACTCAAAGGTATCAAAATCTTGCCCTTGATGTGGGGCGGCCAGAGATTAACCGTGACCAGAAGAGACACAGCATAATTGACCGCAAGAAGAAGTAGAGAAGGTCCACAATCGTCCGAAACAGTGCTTCCACAGAGCAGAGAGAATACATGCCGGTGCGTAATATTGTGTACTCTGTGCAATGCTGCTACAAGTTGTAAAAAAATAGGAGTCCATTTCAGGTGAAAATTACCGGAACAACTATGCTCATTTCTGTTAGCACATCTATGGCATTCTGCATTAGATGTTACCATTAAGCTATCATCGAATTTTGTTATTGGAAATTATAATTGTTTGTTTGAACATTTTAGTTTCAAATGAGTGATGTTTAAGATGCTTTTGCATTAGTGTTACAGTAAACTTCAAATGGGAGTGAAAAATGAACAGCTTCAAGTGAGTTTCCTTTGCTTCCTATTTGGATCACTTGGGAGTGTTACAGTGTCGTCCTGTGATAGTCTCCTATTTCTTGACAGTTTGTGAGTGAGAACAGGCCCAAAGGAATACCTGAACATGTGCTTGAGTACATTTGAATGTGTTTAAAACATGTGGGAGGGATAAAACTACCAAGTTATTTTGACATGGTCTCTATCTGGCAGAATTTCCCCAATGGCGGGTGGGTCTGGAACATATTCTCTACGATAAATGGGGGCTTCACTGTACTACTGTGTGTGTGCTCTCCATTTTGTGCAAAGTAAACACTTGACTGGAGGTTAGGAGGCCTCCAGGAAGAAGCCCCAGTATGCACGCAAAGGATCAAGCCATCTTGGAAGAAGCAAATTCATGCCCAGGAAAACAGCGTGCTGCTGACAAAGCCGCAGTGTCCAAAGAACAACGCCGAGCTGCCGAGTCGAAAAGCCAACTCAAACATTTCCCACCTGCAGGCTCGAGACATTTGTGTGGACATCAGCAGGGACACACGCATGTCGCATCCCTGTCAAGTGGTGTGCAGGCAGACAGACAGACAGACAGGCTGTCTGAGCATTTTAGCTGTGTTGCATTTAGAAATGAGGGGTCATCAAACGCTTATGCAACAGCCTCTAACAAGGCCCCGCGCCTTAAAATAGAGCTTGGCAATTGTTCTTAGGTGGCATACAAAAACAACTCCAAAATAGATTTGGAAAGGGGGTGGGGGGCCATGGGCACTCTGGACATAAGGCTCCCCCTCATTGTGCTGCAAGACATGCACTTGGGCCCCGATAGAAGGGAATGTTTTCTGATAGAAAACTTTGATTCTGTCCACACTTTTAAAGTGGAGACAAGAAATGAGCAGGAATACGCTTAAAAATGGAAACCACAAAGCAGAGACATTCACCAAGTTTGAACCTCCAGAGGATTATTGGATCTGTGTGTGTGTATGTGTGGGGCGTATCTCAGGCTAATGTCAAAACACTCCCAGGATGTAGAACAGCATTTCTGAGGTCTCCATTAGACCTTTCAAAGGCCACTTCAACCTGCACAGACATGTTCTTCAGACTTTCAGATACTGGGAGTGACCTGGATGATTTTTGATCAAATATGTCGGGCTGTGTCTCACACAAGAAAAAAAAGGGGGATTAGAATGTTGGGCTGGTTTGCTGCAAAAACAATATACAATGAAGTTATTGGTCTTATCAAGTCGGCTGCTCTTATCTTTTTTGAAATCGATTATCCTATCGATTACTTAATCGAAAACTCCCTGAACTGCACATTCCCCAGTTGACGAATGCTGGTTTTTTTTTGTTTTTGGTGGGGGGATCGAGGAAAATGTCCCACAGTGATAAGCAGGTTTCTGCAAGTAACATTTCTGTTTCGCTACAAGTCCCCCTCCTCGCAGCCGTTAGTGGCTGTGCCTAAGGCGCGCTGGCATTGGACGTTTATTTTTCATACACACTCCATCACTTTTAAGCAATGTGTTGATAAGATAAACAGGCGGCAAGCTATGCTAAGCTAAGTTAGCTGGAGAAGCTTCAATTTGCACCCAGACCAGTTGAACCACTTCAATGAAGTAGTCATGGGATGCACTTTGTCAAAGCTTTAGCTTTATCAGTGCTGCTTTACTGAAAACGTACCATGCCATGAGCTGCTTTTGCGCAAGGCATGAGATGAGACAGTGCACTCACACACAGCGTCGGTTGTAAAATGAATACACCACAGCAGGGTCACTAACCTTTTTGAAACTGAGAGCTATTTCTTGGCTACTGATTAATGTGAAGCGCTACCAGTTTAATACACATTTCTGAAATAACACATTTGCTCAAGTTACATTTCATGATATTGTGTCATGAATAAGAATATTTATTTATGTAAAGACAAAAATCATGATAATACTTTCACTCAATAATTAGGCAGCAGATTAATATCAATATGCCACACTTATTTTTTTTGTTTGAATCTCAGTGTTTACATTTTCATATGATCGACATTGCGAAGAGTTACGCCATAAAGTTTCAATATCAATCAGCTACAACAGGAAATCTAATATATTGTGTAACTTCACATTCCTATGTATTTCAAAAATAGTTGGGGGCGGGGGTGGGGGGGTCCGTTGTTGCATTTACCTGGGGCTTTAAGAGGGGCGGGGCTGCCACTGACAGGTGACCGTTCACTTGACATAAAAAAACGTCATCGCAGTGTTTCAGTAGGCATATCACTCACTTCGTCGTCAGCATGGCCCCAATGGTAAGCTATGCTTGTGTCCGCTTTTCTTTTGTCAGATGTGTGGTATTGTTTTTTGGGATTCGGTCATGTTTGCTTGCTTCGTTTGTCTGCTTTGTTTTGTGTCCGTGGCAGCTTTATGTTTGCTGCATCGCAATCACAATTGCTTGCTGTTCGCAATCGGCAGTTTAAACAACGTGGGCAAAAGGTAGAAAGTTTAGTCTTGCAATTACTGTACTGTGGTGTCCATCTCTTAGTTCTTTTTTGTTGGAGTGTGGACATGTCATGCTAGCCCGGCTGCACCGAAAAGTTTGACTGATAATTTTGCGTTACGGCGAGAGTTAATCGTAGCGGCGCAACGCTTTCGGGTTTGACCGCTGGGAATTGTAGTCCTTTTGTTCGGTTCCACTTGTATGGTTTCTTGTTACGTTTAGACGACGAATCTTGACATGATAAATGTAATTACATATAAAGCATTACGGGAAATAATCATGACAATATTAATGCATCATGCTAAAATCAAAGGGTTGTGATAAAATCATGATTAATATTGTGGTTAAGAAAATGATTGTTAAAATGAAGGTATTAATGAATTCATGTCTATTATATACATTATTTACATTGTACCCATCTTCATGCATCACATTATTTTTTGTTGTGTTTTTACGTTATTACCTGCTGTGTGATTCAATAAATGATCGAGTACATAGCGAGTAATCCTTCCATGCTGAGTGACGATCCCTATTCAGAGGGCGGTGAAATAACGGAAATAACTGAACATTCATAATCTCGATTTTCTTCTGGAGTTTGCATAATCTCTGTTGTGTGGGTTTTCTCCAGGTACTCCATCTTCCTTCCACTTGCACAAAAACATGCATCTTAAATTAAGAAGACTCTAGATTGTTTTTAGATGTGAATGCACTTGCTTGTTATGTGTACTGTGATTGGCTGGTGACCAGTGAAGGGTCCACACCGCCTCTTGAACAAAGTCAGCTGGGATAAGATTTTAATTAGTAAAACAGATTACTTGGAAGAAACCCAATGGCAAAGAAACCTTGCGAGACTTGAACCCAGACCGCTCAGCTGTATGACAGACGTTCAAAGTAATAAATAGAGAACACTGCGCTGCGCGAGGCAAAACATCTCAGACTCAATTTTCATGACCAGCATAAATCTGGCGCAGCGCATGGAATATCTCTGCGCACAGACAGGTTAGCCTCAACGGTGGTATTTTTGCAGATGAGCGCAGGCCGGCGGATCTGTGAGGGAGAGCTGCGGCGCTGAGGGAGTGGTCACAGCCGACTTCAATCATGGCCTATCGAAGTGATATTTTTATTCCACTGCTGTTCAGGTATTTATCAATGAAATACATCCACCTCACTTGTCCACGGAGCTCAGAATCTGTCTGCCTGTGACCCAAACAAATACTCCAAACTCACACTAGACCAGCTGCGCAAGTATTTAGATGTGGTCTGAGCAGACGGAATTTTAGACTGACGTTCTGCCACCAAACTGTCACTCTGCCGGGCACATCTCCAAGGACACCCCCTCCTGCTGCGCTGGAATGCCCAGCATGGTGGAGACTAGTCTGCAGAATAGCACTGATTTAAAAATTGGGATATGTCAGCATTTACACCGCATAGCAGGTCTGCTGTCTATGAAAATGTGACCCACATTTTCGGGCAGTAGGCAGGGGACACCCTGAACCGGTAGCCAATCGCAGGGCATACAGAAACAAACAACCATCCGCGCTCACGCTCACACCTAGGGACAATTTGGAGTCTTCAATCAGCCTGCCATTCATGTTTTTGGAATGTGGGAGGAAACCGGAGGACCCGGAGAAAACCCACGCAAGCATGGGGAGAACATGCAAACTCCACACAGTGAGGCCGCAGCCGGAATCGAACCCAGCACCTTCGTCCTGTGAGGCCAACGTGCTAACCAGTCAACCATGTTCCGCCCACAATTACATCCATCCATTTTCTATATCACATGTACCCATCTGACTTCGGGCAACAGGTGGACATTGTGTGCCCTGCAAAAAACTGGTGACCAGTCCAGGGTGTAGTCAACCAACCATTCACACTAAATGACTGTTTCTGAGTGACAGTTGAACCCAGGCATTCTGCAGTAGGGCAAGCAAATGTTCTGATATACCAACAGTGATTTATGCACCAAGACTGGGAGCCAAACTGACAAAGCCAGACCTGACCAATTGCCAGCAAGTCTTGCTTGTGGCCACCAAAAGACAGGAGGCAACAATGGCTACACTTTCTGTAACTGATACAGCACGTTATGAAACTGTGGGGGGTTACTGAGTCCCACTTTGGGTCCCCCATAAAACCAGTAAAGTCAGATGCAGTAAGTCATGCAGGCATTTAACTTCGAAGGATTCCTGAGCCACTGGCATCTTCAACATGAGGAGAAGGGGGGACGTGTCAGCTTCCAGATCTGTTTCTGACTGGACAATCAAAGATGGTCACATTATGGACGATGATTTCACATAATCTCATCCACGCAATTATACAAACCATCAATACTATATAAAAAAAAAAAAAAAACAGCACATACTTGTGCAACGTACATCATTTAGAGCTGTTCAGAATGAAGCTGTTCAGAATGATGCGGTTGGTTAGCACGGCCGCCTCACAGTGCAGAGGTCATGAGTTTGTTTCCGGGCCTCGGCCTTCCTATTTTGAGTTGCATGTTCTCCCCTGCCTGCGTTGGTTTTTTTCCAGGTACTCCGGCTTCTTCCCACATTCCAAAAACATGGATGGCAGGTTCATGGAACGCTCTAAATTGTCCCTAGGTGTGATTATGAGCATGAATGGTTGTTCGTCTATGTGTGCCCTGTGATTGGGTGTACCAGTTCAGGGTGTACCCCGCCTACTGCCCGAAGAAAGCTGGGATAGGCTACAGCACACCTGCGACCCTCATGAGGGCAAGCGGTTCGGATAATTGATGGATGTACTACTCAAAGTTTTGCTCTGAAGGACCAACCAGATGATGCTAAAATGTTGACTTAATCGAGGGCCGGCGTGCGCAAATTGGAAATGTATCTGAGTACTCTTTGTCGCTTATATAGTTTAAGTTTCATTGGCCAGCACTCTTGATTCTGAAGGCCCTGGGCACACTGGATTATTAACATGGCAGCACATAGATCCTGAAATCTGATTGGACAAATATAAACATATTTGGAAGGTAGTTTGAAAGTATGATCCAACTGGATGTTCAAACGCTGTCCCACTTTGAGAGTCAATATTTTCTTCGCTTTACAATCAATCGCCGGGTTACACAGTTGACAATATTACAAACACACTGCAGAGATAAAATCAATAATCAAATGTTGCTTGTGTGTGAATTTATTTTGAGTGTTTTAAAGTAGCTATCGCGGCCGCTTCCTCTTCATGACATGCCAACAGACACATTTAATTAAGTGCTCTTTATCCCCTTAAAATGTATCAGTTGCGAAAACAGTTGTTACCAATAAAATGACAGAATGTCAAAGCAATAAGTACCCTTTAATCAAGTCCAGTGCTGTCCACAGTGAGATAATAGGTCGCCAGAAAAAAAAAAAAGTTATGTTTGTTTCCTTATGTGTCCATGAGGGGGCTCCCATGATTTACTACTATAATGCAATGTATACTTTACACCAGAACAAATATAGTTGGTTCAATTGTTCCATAAAAAATCCAATGTTAAATTTTTAAGTCTCTTTTTTTTAATTTTTTTTTGACATAAAAGCAGGATGTGTAGAGCGTGGGGTCCAGTTTTATTAGTGATGCAATAAATCGATACATTATTTCAGGCTACTTGCACATATTATTTTCTTGTCTTATCCCTCGTCATGAGTACACAGAATTGAAAAAGCATGCATGTCAACTGTTGGCGTTACGAATGCTGATCTATGGTGTCTATCATACCTCAAAACTAACAAGGTGAACATGACCGCTTAATTTTCTACATACAATTAGTAGTTTGAACCAGTTTTTCAACTGAATATCTTTGTATGAAGGTATTGAAATCTCTTCAAGTGTAAATATCATTGAACTAAAAAGATTTGTTTTACTTGAGTGCTCGGGTAATGAGGGGGCTCCCATGATTTACTACTATAATGCAATGTATACTTTACACCAGAACAAATATAGTTGGTTCAATTGTTCCATAAAAAATCCAATGTTAAATTTTTAAGTCTCTTTTTTAAATTTTTTTTGACATAAAAGCAGGATGTGTAGAGCGTGGGGTCCAGTTTTATTAGTGATGCAATAAATCGATACATTATTTCAGGCTACTTGCACATATTATTTTCTTGTCGTATCCCTCGTCATGAGTACACAGAATTGAAAAAGCATGCATGTCAACTGTTGGCGTTACGAATGCTGATCTATGGTGTCTATCATACCTCAAAACTAACAAGGTGAACATGACCGCTTAATTTTCTACATACAATTAGTAGTTTGAACCAGTTTTTCAACTGAATATCTTTGTATGAAGGTATTGAAATCTCTTCAAGTGTAAATATCATTGAACTAAAAAGATTTGTTTTACTTGAGTGCTCGGGTACCAAGTGCTCCACTATGAAACAATGGAGTTGACCACGTCATACAACAATCTCTTGCAAACAAAGGGCTAAGTGAACTCTATTTATTCATAGCACACTGTAAGGAAGGCTTGATTTAAAGCATACAGTATATAATTTTTACCTGGTTTTGAACAAGTTTAATTTTGGTCTCTCATGTCATACACCTGGACCGTATTTTCACCCATATGTATGTATGTATGTATGTATGTATGAATGATTCTCTCCATATATAACTGAATGAGCATGCATGTAGCTACTGGAAACAGTGCACCCGAGAAAAAAATCTACGAATTGAAGACAGTTGGGAATAAATGACCACAATTTCATGGAACAATTAAGTTGGAAATGTAGGTCAGAGGATGCCTTGCTTGCCGTGACGGCTCTCCGCTACTATAAGCAGATGATGATGGCTGTATCTTACCAGTTTGCCCTCCCGACTGGCGTCCTTCTTCCAGGCCGCTTGCTGCTTGCTCTCCACGGGTGTCGTGCAGCTGCCGGAGCGCGGCTCGATGAGAGTGGGAGAGAGGGAGCAGAAGGGCGGACTGGGGCTGGGAGGCAGCCCCGAGTCCGGGCTGTCAAGCAGCCCTTCCCGGTTCTTTCCTTTGAGACTTTCATCCATCGCTTGCAAGTGGAGCTGCCCCACCATTTCTGGGGACGATTGCAAGCGAGAAAAGACGCAAAGTCGCACTTAAGGGGGGAAAAAAAGTTCTTCCCCTCCTTCTGTCGTCGAGCCTCTGCGTCGAAATGTACTAATCCGCGGCCAGTTTCTTCCAAGGGGGACTCCTGGAAGAAGATGAGAAGTTAAATTAGACGTTTACTTATTCTCTCAAAAGTTAATAAGATGAACTCTTACCTGCGGCGGTAAGTAGCCAAGAAAGCCGTCCACTAAAATGCTCAACCGTGCAAAAGTTACGTCGACATTTAAGGAAATGTCAGACGTATCGCTCGACACAAAAATCACAAAGTAGACGTGCGTCTGACGCAGGTCTGGAGGAAAGCTCCTCTGTGCGGCTCGTCACCGCTCACACTCCGCTCTAGGAGTGCGCGTCACCGTGTGTGCGGGCGCGCGCGGCACGGGCATGTGCGCGTGTGTCCAGTGCGACGAAGATCACTTCCACGCGTGGCCATCAGAGAGAGCGTGTTGCAGCATGTTGTTTCTCTGTTCAAGTCATGTGCAACGTCACCGTTTGACAATCCTTCTGATTGCATGAAATAAATGTTTTCCCACGCAGTGACGAAATAATTGAGCGCCTGAAAAGGTAACGAAAGTATTTTTACTCGCGAAGGCAACAATGCATACACTAAACAAGAGATTTCCAACAATGCACTGTACAGTATTGTAACCTTACTGAGGATAAGTGCAGGGGCGGAGCTAATTGGTGGCCACCCCACCACACCTGGGGGAAAACCTTGATATCTGTGTTGCAGTATACTGAGACCCCGTGATACACTGCTACATCAACAAACACAAATACAAAGTACAACCTATTGTCACTGAGTCTAGGAGATCATGTCATGGGAGTGGTGTGATGGGTGTGGCTCAATGGTTATGGAGGCGCTTACATGTTGCTTACAGATGCATTTTGAGAACTAGGCAATTAACTGAAGATTTACCTGGTTGTTTAATTTTGGACTTGATGTATGGCCCGGCACTCCTGAGATCCAACGACTTGTTGACCCGCAACTAAAAAGTCATTTTCCAATAATATGTCTGGTATAAATTCATTGTCTGCCATTTCTTTATAGCTCCACGTCCAAAATATTCATTTGGTTGCAATTGTTAATGTACCAAAAGGATACCCCCCAACCCCCACTAAATACTTAAGTAAAATAAAATAAATACCCATGCAGTCAAAATAATAATGTAACAACAACAAACATGCATAGTTGCAACACTCAAAGCACTGTTTGGAAAGATAAACATGCGGCTCTCAACAATACAACGGATTAGAGCTTTTCCACGCTCGTTTGCAAGTATTCTTCGTGATTCAAAATTTTAGCTGTTTGCATGTTTTACATTTGTCATTTTTAGCTGCCAATAACAAAGCTAGTAAGCTAGTACACCGCAGCTCAGTGCGGTTTTCCCGAGAAACACAAACATGCAATAATTAGTTAATGTTAGTTAATGGGGTACTGGAAGGATCAGTTCAGATACTTTTCGTGTGTGTGTGTGTGTGTGTGTGTGTGTGTGTGTGTGTGTGTGTGTGTGTGTGTGTGTAAGCAAACTTCAAGTGTATTTCAGGAATGGGTGGAGGTGGGTGGGAATGCTGTGCATTCACTTCTTGCCGAATGAGTAAATGTTTCACACACGCACCGAGAAAGAATCGAATGCCTGTTGCCGCTTCTCTCCACATCATGTTTGGCCTCTCTGTTAGTGCTCTTACAAACAGCAGCTCTGCCAAAAAGGAAATCAGAAGGAAAATAAGAGCCTGGCTGTGTGGAGGCGACTGTGTGCTTGCTGTGTTTGATTGTGTGTGTGATGGTCCAGCAGCTCTCCATGGTGATGAACACGCGATTGCCAGGAAATCATGCGTGATGTTTGTTCACTTCTCATTACATGTGTGCCGAATGGCACCGAACCTTTTACCGGGCTTCCCATTCCCTCCCATGCGTTATTGTTTGTTATTCGCTTCAGGAAGTGACAGAGAGGGTGTCAGATGTATTTTGGGACCATCACGTGTACCCTAAAGTGACCAGCATGTTGATCCTGAGGCATTCAGGGAATTAAAGTTGAGATCTGCTACAGATTACCCAAAAGACGCTGGGATACACATGGTGCGTGTTTGTGGGTGTAGTGGGCGTGTCTGTGGGTGGCCCAATTGCAGTTTCAATGTGAACGAACGATGAAAGGGAGCGCGAGAATGACCGTAAAGACGTGTATGGAAATCTGCAGCATAATTGAGTGTTATTCATTTTTTTTATAGGGCATTAATCGAAACACTTTTGGCATGTCAACCCCTTGACTTTTTTGATTTGTTCTTATAAAATATAATCTTCATCCATCCATCCATCCATTCATCCAATGAAAAAATTGAATAATAATAATAATATTGTACGTATATATTATTCAACATGTCCATATAATACACGTTATATTTTGTAGGTACTTACTTGCACATGAAACCAATCCAGTTTTTTTTTTCTAATTAGCAACATTGAAGCATTCTGTACAACAAAAGACAGAAACAACAACATCAACACAATCAACTATAAAAAAATAAAACAAAACACCAAAACCAAGACATTTCTTTTGCAGGAAGTGTTTTGTCTATGAAAAATTGCATATTTATATATTGTTGGTTTTGTTTGTTTTTTAACTCAAATCCGGATTTATCTACATTCATATAGCACTGCTTTTCATTAAAAGAAACCAGGAGGAGTATTATCACGACTTGCCAATGGCCTCCTGTTTTCACCCAGTTTGTTTCTTTAGTTAATAGTGTTACTTTGACCTTTGACCTTTTCCATAATGGATTGTGGATGCGATATTGCGGAATGAACACTTTTCACTTGGCCACGAGTCTACCTCCATTATGTAGGAGTTGATTGAGGAGTTCTGCAATCTGGATTGTGTTCTTGAGCACTTTGAGGTCTCCACAAGACCCATGCTGAGGGAGGACAAGTTGCTGCTGATAATTCATTTTCAGTGCTTCATATTGGGACTATCGCGCTCACCTTTACAGACAAGTTTGTTGTTAGAGATGCACAATCATGAGTTGGGAGTATTTGCAAGCAGAAACGTGAATGAGACAAGCAGATTATTATTGTTTTTTTTTTTTCAGTAAAAGAGAGGTGCTCTTTTGAGGCACACATGCGCTGTCTGGACTGACTCTCAATGTAAACAAACCGCAGAGAGGCCGGCAGGGGCTGGCAGGCAGGAAGGTTGTTTTGAGTCGGCAAGGACATCAACTGTGGTTTCCACACACACAACGTTCTTCTTCAGACTCCCAGGCAATCATTCTCAACATCTCGCAGATAGGTGAACATTCTCCACTTTGCTTTTCACACAATGTACACGTCAACGCTGGACACTTGTTAGCTGACAGCCTCGGCATGCGCATGCAGCTGTACGCCTCTGCTTTCGGATTATGAGACTGTTTTTGATGGCTCACACTGGGAGGGTCTATACCTCAGTGTTGGATCCATAATTCAAATTGTTTCTCTGCAGCTGGTTTTAATGGATGGAAGACACCTTCCACGCTGCAAACCGGGAGAAAACACACAAGCCCCACTTGAAGAGGGTTGACTTTTTGTTTGACATTACAGCAACGATCATTGCTGATGTTTCCTTTTGCAACGAATATGATGAATTATTTCAACAATGTTGACTCACCTCAGTATTTCGTTCATTCTTGTGTCAGGTTGGTGAAAATGAGTAAAGATATCATCTACTACACCTGACACTGACGGCACCATGATTAGCACGTGCACTATCTGGTTGTCGCTGTGTTATGAAACTACTGCACCATAACAAGAGCGCAGAGATAAAGAAGCGCTTTTATGATGTAGTGCTGTTCGAAATCAATGCAAATTATAGTACAACCACAATTCTCAACATATTGTTTAATGAATACCTCACTGACTGTCATTCAACATAATAATTTTTAAAAAAGTTCCAACATTACTTTTGCAGCGGCAGAATATTTGGTGCAGCTCCTGTATTGGATATTATATTGTGAAAGTGGTCAGAATTTTGTTGCTGGCTATTGTACACCCCCCTCCTTTTTTTTGGGGTGAACAAGTTGTACAGACAGAAGCTGCAAATACGTCATAATTGACAGATAAAATGTTTCCGCTTTGGCTTAACAGCTACTGTGTCAGCAGGATTACAGAAAAACTACCAACCACAAACTTTGTTGGGGGGTGGAGTATAGACCAAGCAACCAACTATTAAATCTTGCTGATCGCAATAGAAGTAGAGGTCCAGGAAAGTGTTCCCCCCATGTTTATGAACTGTGGTCCATGCTCACTAAAGGGTGATAAAATAATTCATATATTTTGTTGTTGTTCATAGTTGGGCCTTTGCACGGTTATAAGTCTTTGGAGAATGATTCTTCTTAATGGCATTAACTTGCATCAACTTTATTGCTGCATTTCAAACGTGTAATTCCCAAAATGAATGTGCACAAAGTAGTGAAGCTCATACAACCTCCGGTGTGCTCCCAGCTGGCGTCCGTGCATGTTGTCAACAGCTCCTCCACTACACCCAACGTGTCATTTTCACTTCCTCATAGCTTCATGTGAACAATCGATAGTTAAACATGAAAATTGATTTCGTTTAATGTGTAAGCACCAGACATATGCCAGGCTTTTTATCTACTGATATGCTTGGCTGCACTGATTTGTCCATTGAATTTTTTTAGGCCAAACTCTTTTGTATTTTTTTTTTGTTTGTTTTTTTCCACATTTATGGGATGGGTACATGAAGGGGAAGTGATCCCAGATAAGGTTGCCAAAGGGTGGGACATCAGAAAAGATTCAATGAGAATGTTTGGAAGTTTGGAAAGATTTAAAAAAAAATGCTGAATGGACAAAAAAGGCCAGTTTGAATTAGGTTTTGTCAGTAGGTGAAAATATCGCCGTCAAAACAAAAAGTACATCAGAAAGCAAGCACCATTTGCACCTAAACAAGACGCTCAATAACAGGCATTCACACCACAATTAACAAATGGGAAATGGAAAAAGTATCAATTGTCTAAGAGCATCAACCAGTAGAAAAGTATTGCGGAGTGGACTAAAATAACTGAACGATTCAATAAAATAAAACAGGGTGAGAAGGGAGGCAAAATGGTAATATTAATCCGGGCTGGCCAGAAATGGGCCACCAAAAACAACCCAACTAAACATTCTGCATGCCCATAAAAAAAATGCCTTCCAAAGACCGAATGAGGTTTGGTATCCAGTCTGTCCCTTTAGAAGTGGCAATCTTGTGGTCTTCTGTGTATAAAAAAAAAAGAAACCTTTGGGGATTTGTCTGGGGGTTTTTCATGGTTTCTGGGGTTACTTTTCTGCAACCTGGCGCCTGTTTATTAAAAATTATGGTGTGAGGGAAAAAATAAA